TCTCTATAATTTTCTTACATTCTTTTTGCTAATCTTAAAAAAAATCTCTTATCCAAAGACATCACAACCAGCAGAACTTTAAGAAAAGTGCAGAAATGATCTTCCTCCCTAGCAACAGAGAATACAATAGTGCAACCTCAATAGCTCTTTATTTGACTTAGTCGTTTTCTCTTGATAAGACTCCCCACCCCCCATTCCCCCACCCCCCTTGGAGGAAGTTTGTATACACTAGAGAGTTCAAAATACAAATTATGACTCTACAAGTCTGTTCCTAAATAGGAGCAATAGTTCTTGTAGGTAAAACACTGCCTGTTTTTATTTAACAATTGATTTACCTGATTTGTTCAACTGATTAAAGCCTTTGGATAAAACTGTTCCTAGTTGCTTGTCATATTTCTTTCAGTTTCTCCATCATTGTTCCAAAACTCATTGCTATGGCCTTCCTCTTTACACTTAGTGTGTTAGATTCAAATGCTCCTTTCTGTTCATGGAAGGAAACCTTTGGATCTCACCCACTGCTTCTTGCTCTTAAGACGATGGGTTGTGTCCAATTGGTGCCCTAACACAAGGCTTTAAGATCCAGAGAGAGGAATGCATCCACTAATGGGAGGGGGAGGGGAGGGGAATTCCTATTTTCCCTCCTCTCTTCAGCCTCCCTGAAAATACATTCTGGAGGATCTGCTGCCTCTCTAGAACAGATCAAAGGGCAGGCACTGAGGCCTATGAGAAGAGGGGAATGGGGGGAGGGGAAATCACCTCTCTCTTGTATTAGCAGACTCCTCCTGCTGGTAGGAGGACCAAGAGATTCACCTCTGCTAACCTGTTTTATTTTATTTTTAAATCACTTAATTTATAGTTATTTTCACAGTTATAGCTGCTTGCAGGAAGTGTTGTGTATTATTTATGAGTCGTTTATTTTTGTATTAGCTTCTTCTTCTTCTTCTTCTTCTCCTTCTTCTTCTTCTTCTTCGCATTTATATCTCACCTTTTCTCCAAAGAGCTCAAAGCAGTGTTCATGGTTCCCCTGTTCATTCTTAAAACTCCCAACAATCTTGTGAGATAAGTTATGCTGAGAGGCAGTGATTGGCCCAAGGTCCCCATTGAGCTTCACGGATGAGTGGGGATTTGAACCCTGGTCTCCCAGGTTCTAGTCTGGCACTCTAACCACTATACCATCCTGCCTCAAAAGGAGTTGTTTTGGTACAAAACTCTGAACTAGAAAAGCAATCGGATTAACTTTTCCCTCAAAGTCATATCCGCATAGTGCTCTATGGTATACTTTTCTGTCTTTTGTCCAATGGCCCAGAAGTAGGTTGGACCATGAACAACTCTTTCCTCATTGCTACGCAGATTACAGTGGTACCTCGGGTTAAGTACTTAATTCGTTCCGGAGGTCCGTACTTAACCTGAAACTGTTCTTAACCTGAGGTACCACTTTAGCTAATGGGGCCTCCTGCTGCTCCTGCGCCGCCAGAGCACAATTTCTGTTCTCATCCTGAAGCAAAGTTCTTAACCTGAAGCAATATTTCTGGGTTAATGGAGTCTGTTACCTGAAGCGTATGTAACCTGAAGCATATGTAACCTGAGGTACCACTGTATTATGTTCTCACTCAGAAACAAGGCTCCATGTTTGCTTGCAGCAGAAGTGATAAACCTTTTCCTTACTCCCCAGTCAGAGGGAAGGTGACTTCTGAAGGCTAGGTTTGGTGGGTTGTTTTTTTTGGCCACCACAGGTTTGTGAAATTCCCAAACCAGTAGAAGAGTGTTCTGCTTGCAGTCAGTTGAAGATGGAACCATTACAAACCAGTGATTACAAATGAATCCTCTGGAGTCCTCTTGTTCTGAAGGCTAAGATGTTCATATCTTCTTCAGGGTAATGGTTTAGGGTTTGATGCATCACATCAGTGCCACCAATATTTCTTCTCGTTTGTTGTTGAGGACTTCTCTGAAAACGTACACTTTCCCACAGCTCTTACAGAATAAGTACCATCATGCTGAATAATGTCTGAAAATTCTGCTTGAGTGGACATCAAATATAACGAGGAAAGAAACGTAGTCATTATGTTGGACAGTGTATCATTCTGTTCCTCAGGAGGGGCCAAACTTTGCCTGAACTTCATTTAAAATATTTTGAAAATAGTGAAATCACTTATCTACAGAGCTGGCAAGGTTTGGTTGGAAAAGGAGATTCTCTATCAAAAGACAACCAAGCTATTATACCGTTAGTTACTGCTGCTTCTATTTTGGGAAATATGCCGATAACGATACCAGTGTGTCAGCAGGGGCATTCTCACTGAGAAATGGCCATTTTATTTGCAGGTTGGAATATAAAAACGAGACAAGAACAGTTTGTCACTTTGTGGGTTCACCCTTCATTTCTGACAGAACATCAGTATGGAACAAATAAAATAAAAATCATTTTCGATCAAAGGGGGAAATGAACCCAAAAGCGCAAACGAGCGGATAAAACATTGTTCCTGTCCATAATCACTTTTATGGAACTTTTATTTTGCTGTCACACATAAAAAATGATTAAATAACTTAATTTTTCAATTAGCAGTGGAAAATACTAGTAAATCATTATGGGGTCAGGAAGATAGGCTACATTTCAGACAAATGACCTCAAATTCAGCAGAGGATCATGGCAGAAATAGAGGGGGGTGTTTTTTCTGATTCCTCTTCCCCCTTGAAGCTCAGTTCTCCTTGAATATCTGCTCCAGGTGCCAATAAAAATGAAGGGTGTAATCCCAACCTCATTTATCGGGGAGTAAGCTATATTAAATTCAATAGGACTTACTTCTCAGTAGGCATGGTTAGGGATTACACTGTAGGCCATTACTCAGATGTTTAGTCCTACTGAGTTCAACAGGATTTACGCCTGGGCAACTGCGTACAGGATTGCTGCCTCAAGGACCTAAAACTGAAATTTCTGGTTGATAAATGCTTTCCTGGGCAATGCTTTAAAAATGTATTTCTTTCCCCTAAGATTGTAAGCTCTTGAAATCACACCAGGTCTTCAAATAGCACCGGATCTTTTTAACTATGATTTTATCTGTTCTATTGAACGATCATGCACCCATGTATTCTTGCTGCTGAATTTCAGCTCCATGCTGCCACCCAGTGGGGTTTCATTGATAAGGGCTAAAAACCAAAAGCTTCTGAAAAGCAATTATGCTGCATTTAAAGCAGGAACAAGCAAGCTGAAATAGTCTCACTTCCTCCCTAAAACAGGACAGGCACATTTTAAAGTTTTATTGCAGTAGAAAATCTTTGCAAGGAGCTATTGTAACTGTGAAAATCTATTTAAATAAATTAGTAAATGGTTGCTTTTTGCAGCTAGGGATGGACAAATCTGGCAATTTCTCTTTCTCCATTTTTCATTTTTCCTGTTTCAATTTTTTTTTAAAGTCCTGATGCATTTTAGTATGCAATTTTTCCTAATATACACTTTTGAAAAAGTAACTTTCCCTTAGGCCCCAGTGGTACAATGGGTCAATGAGTCTGCCTGTTAGTCAGAAGACTGGTGGTTTGAGCCCATCCAGGGATAGCTATGGGCAGGATTCCTGCACTGCAGGGCACGGGCATAGCCAGGATTTATGTTAGGGACTTTTGTTGGGGGTGGGCAGAACCAAGTTATCTGCGACTCGATTGGTCAGTTAGTTAGGTAGTTTTATTTGTTTAGTTGGTGGGGGGCAGCTGCTCCCCTGACTATGCCCATGTTGCAGAGGTTGGATTAAATGACCCTTGGGATTTGTTCCAACTCTACAATTCTAAAGGAACGCCGGGTGAATTTTGCAACACAGTACACCTAACACACCACTCAAATGGTATTTAAAAATATATATTCGTAGCTAGAATTACGATTTCTGTATCAGATAAATCTGCCATTAGGTGTCATACAAGTTACCATACAATTAATTTCACAGTTGACCAACAACAATGGATGCAAGAGAAACAAAATGTATCAGCTCATTCAAGTTTTAGACATATATCCTCTACATACAGCAAGGCACAGAGGCAAATCCCCAGCTCATGTCTCCTCCTTTTCACCATACAAGCCTTGTAATAATTTTGTTGTTGTTGTTATTTATTATTTTATATATCAGTCTATTTTCTTTAAAAATGTTTAGAGGTACTCTCATTTTGACTCAAGAAAATCACCATTTTATAGATCAAACCGGGAAAAATAAATACAGTACTTGGACAAAAATACAAAGGTTAACAAAATGTTTTGGAGTATGTGTACCCCTGCATACCCCCAGAAAAAAAGCACTGATTATTATTATTACTTATACCCTGCCCATCTGGCTGGGCCTCCCCAGCCACTCTGGGCAGCTTCCAACAGAATATTAAAAACACAATAAAACATCAAACATTAAAAGCTTCCCTAAACAGGGCTGCCTTCAGATGTCTTCTAAATGTCAGATAGTTGTTTAATTCTTTGACATCTGATGGGAGGGCGTTCCACACGGTGGGCGCCACCACAGAAAAGGCCCTCTGCCTGGTTCCCTGTAACCTCATTTCTCACAGAGAGGGAACCACCAGAAGGCCCTTGGCGCTGGACTTCAGTGTCTGGGCTGAACGCTGGGGGTGGAGACGCTCCTTCAGGTATTCAGGGCCGAGGCCTTTTAGGGCTTTAAAGGTCCACACCAACACTTTGAATTGTGCTCAGAAACGTACTGGGAGCCAATGTAGGTCTTTCAGGACCAGTGTTATATGGTCCCGGTGGCCACTCCCAGTCACCAGTCTAGCTGCCGCATTCTGGATTAGTTGTAGTTTCCGGGTCACCTTCAAAGGTAGCCCCACACAGAGCGCATTGCAGTAGTCCAAGCGGGAGATAACCAGGGTATACACCACTCTGGCAAGACAGTCTGATTACAAGGTGTGTGTGTGTGGTTGTGTCCCACCTACAATCCATGGGTAAAACTTAAAACACACATGAAATTTAACACTCCAGGCCTGTGTTAGCCAAATGAAAGCAAAAAGGCAGAAACATACCATTTTCATTTTTTCTAAAAGTATTTTAATCTCCCCAGTATAAGAGCTGCTTCATATTGCTTTTTATTGCATTGACAACAGTGAGCTTCAGTGATCAAACCTGGCATTAGAGACCTGTATCTCCATATGTGTCATCTATCATTGCACAACCAAAGCGTTGCAGGGCCTACGACGGACTTGGAAGGAGGATACACAGGATTAAGATGTTACATTTGTGAAAGAGCATCATACAGCAAAAGAAAAATAATTCCATGGATTGACTCTGCTTATTTACCTATCTTCTTTGATTCTGCTATTGACAGAACCACTTTTCATTATCTTAAAATCAATACATATTGCTTTGCTTCCCAATAAAACTCGTGTCAACCAGGCTTTTCGTTATGAGTTAGTGCTTGACGGCAGTGCAGCTATTCATTAATGTAATAAAATATCAGTAGCCTCCGTCCATTAATCACACTTCCAACAATTATATACCAAGTGAGATTGAATCAGGAATAGTCTCGTGTTTGATGTGGTAAACAGTGTGATGTCCATTCTAAGAACACAAGTGAAGTAACAGCTGGATGGGGAAAAAACCAAGACCACAAGAATTCAGAGATTTTAGCTAATATTAGACCACTGCTGGTCTAATGCAGATACATGTATTTATTTTAAAATACTAGTAGAAAAATATGATACCCAGATTTGCAAGTTCAGATAGTTTGAAAACAGATTTTATTCTGGTACCCTCAAAATACTTTCATCATAATTTTGTACACTTTCCCAAGAGCCATTTCTCTAATATCAGGTTTTCCAATACTGAGGAGGGATAACAAGTTTTATAACCTTAAAGGCTCATTTTTGTTTGCACCTGTAATAAAAAAACCAAGTGTTTATGGGTTTTTCTGTATTTTCTGAAGGAGGTACTCCATTTGTAAGTTTAGATTTGGCTGTCCTTTTCTTGTCTTTTTACTTAAAATTTTATAAGCTTCCATTTTCTTCTGTTTGTAGAGCTTTTGAGCTTTTTCTATTTCTTCTCTTCTTTTTATGGCTGCCTGAAATAATAAAAAATACCCAAGTAATTAAAAGAAGTATGACTTTCATACTTTTTTAGAAATTGTTTTATATATATATATATATATATATATAAATGCATGTTGCAAATATCTTTTTACAGGTATATATGCTAGGAAAATAAATGGTGATATCTAAAAATATTTGTCCATGATACCTCCTTCATTTGTTCCAATGTTTTTAGTGTGAAAAATAAGTCATCAACACAGTTACCTATCTAATGATAAAGTGCAATGCTGTCTTTCTATTGTCTTTCTGAAACAGGGGGGAAAGCACATTTGCTTATGTTATTGCATTGTTCTTTGTGGTTAGGACTACAGTGCACCTGTTTGAGAAGACATCAGACCGGTGGATCTCTTGGGCATGACTGATGAGAGCAACAATCGGGGGGGAGGGGGGAAGACAGAACATCTTACAAGGACAGGAAGAAACACCATGGACAGAATAATTGCCACAGGAAGAACAAGGATATAGATCGAGTTCCTTATTTAGTTTTATAAATCATTTAATGTTTCAACACAAACAGAAGCTATTAATATTGCAGCTGTTGTATAAGGGATTATGAGTATGACCGGAATGTAACTGAAACTAGTAAGATTTTGGAATGCAGAAATAAAGAAAATCATGAAACCATCAAATAAAGCATGCAGGGGGTCACTTTAACTAAATTATATAATTCGGTATTTGAAAGACTGGTATTAATAATTGTTTTATAAATTGTTATTGTTATAATGAAGCTATTATTGGACTGTAATTGAAAACTAATAAATTCTTATTATGAAAAAAACCAGGCTGGTGGACCCCTTTTCCACTAGAGTGAGTTACATAAAATTATTATGAGCTATAAGACAAAAGAAGTTGCCTGCATCAACTTCAGTGCCAGGGAATAAAACAAAACCCCTGTTGATTAACTCTCACCTCTTCCCACTCTCTAAAGTGCTAACTTTCTGTGAGAAACTTAAGACTTTAAGACTTACCTCTTTTTTCTTCTCTCGTTCGGCTTTTATTTTCTCATATTCTTCTTTTGCTTTCTGGTTTGAGGTTTTCGTTTTAAATTTTCGATGAACCATGTTGCACCTGCATTAGACAAACAAACCAGTGAGTAAAAGTATTGATTTTCGATTAATGCAATTATACTATTCGTGCAAAGTTTTCAATTCTGATTCAGTGCTTTCAATGGTCCTCTCAATACCATTTGGAAAGGAGTCTATTGCTCATCTGACCTACAGAACTGCTTTTGCCAACACCACCTTTCAGATAGGCAGCATTGTCTGCTATTCTGCATCTATCATGTTCAGAGCAATTATCATCTACCTATAAATCTGATTTAACGATTTTGAGCTGCTTGAGATTTATTATGTTTGAAAAGTGGTTTGCAACTATTAAGAAAAATGCATATGTAATTATATAACTTCCTTATATGTACTGTAACTTTATTCCCCAAATTTATTCTATATAGCCAATGTGGTGCCTTACAGTTCCTATCAACCTCAGCAAACGTGGTCAGGGACTCTGGGGTTGTGGCACTCATCTCACTTTACAGGCTGAGGGAGCCGGTGTTTGTCCACTTATGCAGATAGTTTTTCCACAGACATGTGGCCAGCATGACTAAGCCGCTTCTGGGGGAACCAGAGCAGCGCACGGAAACGCCGTTTACCTTCCTGCCGGAGGTAGGAATTTATCTACTTGCACTTTGTGCTTTTGAACTGCTAGGTTGGCAGGAGCTGGGACCAAACAACGGGAGCTCACCCCGTCGTGGGGATTCGAACTGCCGACCTTTTGATCGGCAAGCCCAAGTGGCACAGTGGTTTAACCCACAGCGCCACTCCCATCCCTTAGGACAATTTACTATAATTTGGCCCAAATCCTAAAATAGTTGAACTATTTTATATGCTGTTACTGCTAGTTGCTACCTTTTTCACTGAACTAAGCTTGGAAAATGAAAGATTACACTGAACGGAACTAAAATGCTGTGAAAACACCTGCTAGAAGAATAACCTAGGCTCACCTTTAAAAAGGAATTATAGGATAAAAGCAGTTCCCAAAAGGTTTCTTACTTTGTGGTTGCAATTTCCTCTTCTTTTGGTACAGAAGGGCGAACAGTCCTAGGCTTCCGTTGTTTCTTAAGCATTTCCTCTTCAGCTAAGTAAAGATGCTTCAGGTGTTCTGGGTAATCTTCTTTGTACCCAATGTTCTTCTGAGAATTGGCATTGCTTTCCTTTTTAAGCAATTTCTTGTAGTCACGTTGGATCTTTTGCTTTCTCCAAAAGGCAAAACCCTGACCTATACACACCAGAAAAAGATGTGGCATAAGAAAAAAGTGTGCTTAAAACTACAAATGTTATAACATAGCACTCTCTTTTACTAATGTTTCTTCCAGATGATCTTTGAAATAATGCTCCATCTTCTCTTGAAGAACTGTAGTTAATAGCGTCAACTCGAATGTTGAGCAAGCTGACTTGCTCATGTAAAAGAACTTAACCTTGCTCTCCACCCTTTCTGCAAACTCCTCTCTGGGAGCCCTTGCTTTCACATGGTCTTACTAAGTCATAGCTGGGTTCCTGTGATGTGTGAATGTGATCACTGTCTCTTCCTCTGCAAACTGATGGAAGACCTTGTTGTACAGGTAGGTAAGGTCAAACTTTATACTTAGCAGCCCTTACTAAGCCTGAGGTCCTAACTGTGTCTACCCAGAAGCAAGTCCAACTGAACTCCAAGGTGAGTAGGGTTAGGACTGCAGCCTAAGCTACGAGCCCCGCAAAGCTCACTTCTAAGTGAACAATATTTAAATAAAATGTTTTGCCAGGATGTTACATTTTGTGGTTAATCTTATTATTATTTATTAAATTTGTATACCATCCTTTATCCAAAGATTGCAGGGTGGTTCACACAAACCCATTTTAAAGGCGACAGAACATTAATTAGCCCAAGGCCTGGTTATAAAAAAAATGTTTTTGCCTGGCACCTAAAGATACGTAATGAACACACCAAGTGAGGCTCCCCGGGACAGCACTCCACAAATGGAGAGCCACTGCAGAAAAGACCCAGTTGGTACTGGGACCTTCCAGACCTCTTGTGGAGAAGGCACACAAAGATGTTTGCAGGGTCTGGACCGGGTCATATGGGGAAAGGCAGTGCTTGAGATAATTACAGCCCTGGGCAGTTTAAGGATTTATAGGTCAAGACCAGCACTTTGAATTGGGCCCACAAACAAATCTGCAGCCAGGGAAGTCAGGCCAGGAACGGTTGTAATATGTTTAAACTGTCTAGCGCCAGTAAGCCACCCGGATGCCAAACTTTGCACCAGTGGAAGTTTCTGAACTGTCTTCAGTGGAAGCCCTATGTAGAACGTGTTGCAAGAGTCTAAGCTAGAGGATACCAGAGCATAGACAGCAGTAGTGAGGCTCTCCTTGTCCAGGATGGGCCACCAGCAGAAGCTGAAAGAAGGCACTCTGCGCCTCCGAAGCCACTTGAATCTCAGGCGACAGCAGTGGATCCAGAAGTACCACACACCCCTAACTCAAGACAGCCAGAATGATACCACAGTCAATGATGTCGGAAGCTGCCAAGGGAGGTCGAGGAGAATGAACAAGGACGCATTTTCCTGCCTCTAGTGACAACCAAATGCATGGCAACCAAAGCAGCTTCTGCGCCAAAGCCGGGCCTAAACCCTGACCGAAATGGGTACCCAAACTTAGCCACATTCTTCTGACTTTTAGAAGACATCTGAAGGCAGCCCTGTTTAGGGACGTTTTTAATATTTGAGGTTTTATTGTGTTTTTAATATTCTGTTGGCAGCCGCCCAGAGTGGCTGGGGAAACCCAGCCAGATGGGCGAGGTAGAAATAATAGTAATAATAATTCAACGTGCACCATTGATTCCAATGGGTCTATTCAGAGTACGACTTAGCTGGTTATCGCCCAGTGTTTATAAATTAAAGTTTAAAGGCAATGGAAGGGGGCCAGTATAGGAGGAACGACCGCCCCCCTCCTCCCGCCTTCAGCTCCTTCCTGGCTGCCCTTACCCTCCCGGACGCTCCCTCGCACCAGACGCGGGTCTTTCCTCCACTGCCGTTTCCGACCGGGGCGAACCTGCGACTTCTTCTCCTCCCCAGCATCTTTCTCGGCGCCCGGCGCTTCTCTCTTCCTCGCTACAGGCGCCATCTGCTAACTTCCGCTCGGCTTCGTCGCGCGCCGATGACATAATCCAATCGGCGACCCGCTTCTCTTCGACCGCGGCAGTCGCCGCCTTAGCCCTGATGAAGAGAAATCGCTGGCCTTTTCTGTCGGTGCTCGATTCGCTTAGCCTGGGCAGGGAAGGCGAGAGCGAACGGGCGTCCTTGGAGACGGACAGGCTCTCCCAATCGAGCGCCGAGCCCTTCCTTTTACGCCTGAGCAGCTCGGCTTCATCCGTTCCCCCCGCCGGCGATGTCGCGGCGCGTCCGCGAGGCTTCCGCGCCGGTCCCCGGGCCGAACCTCCCTCTTCCCCCGGAGCTGCCGGCGGAGACGGTGGTGGCGCGGCTGCGGGCGGTGGCGCGCTTCTTGGGACGGATGCTTTCGCTGTGCCGGGCCCACACGGTGGACTTCTACACTCGCGGCCTGTGGGAGAAGATGGTGGCGCTTCCCCCGGAGGCGGTGCTGGAAGCGCTGAGCGGAGAGAGGCTTCAGCAGCTCCTGGAGGAGCCGCCTCTGCAGCGCCCCCTGGAGGAGGCCGCCGGTAAGCGCCTCCACGCTGCTTAGAAGGCGGCCCGCAGCGCACGTGGGCGGGGAGGGGTGCGGGGGGTGGTCTCCACTGGCTATTAACAAAAGCGTTTGCCATTATTTTATTGCAGTGGTACCTTGGTTCTCAAACTTAGTCCTTTCCGGAAGTCCGTTCCAAATCCAAAGCGTTCCAAAACCGAGGCGCACTTGCTTTCCCATAGAAAGTAGTGCAAAATGGATTATTAAATCCGTTCCAGACTTTTGAAAACAACCCCTAAAACAGCAATTTAACATGAATTTTACCATCTAACAAGACCATTGATCCATAAAATGAAAGCAATAAACAGTGTACTGCAGTCACACAATCTATCAGTAGGTGAACTGGGTTCCACACAGTCCCAGAAACAAAACCAAAAAGTCACAAAAACGCAATATAAATAGCAAAAACAGACAGACCTCAGCATAACACTCAAAAAGGAAGTGTAGCACTCAAAACAGAGCACGTTCGCAAACTGGAACACTTACTCCCAGGTTTGCAGTGTTTAGGTTCCAAGTTGCTTGAGTACCAAGGAGTTTGAGAACCAAGGTACCACTGTATTTTATTATTTGTTTATGGATCTCTGTGCCCCGCCTTCTTCCAACAAGTGAACTCAAGGCGGCTTAGAGAAAGAACCCATTATTTATCAATGATCTTAACATAAAGGAAAGGAAAGGAAATGTTGAATTGCAGTTAGATGCTTATACAGTCAGATACAGTGGTGCCCCGCAAGACGAATGCCTCGCAAGACGAAAAACCCGCTAGACGAAATGGTTTTCCGTTTTGGAGGCGCTCGCAAAGCAATTTCCTATGGGCTTGCTTCGCAAGACGAAAGCCCATAGGGAAATCTCCGGTCCCGCGAAGCCTGGGCGCGCTGATCTCAGCGCGCGCAGGCCTCGGCATGCCGGCAACTCTCCGCGAGCAGCGGCAGCGCGCTGCCGCTGCTCGCGGAGAGGTCCGCGAAGCCTGGGCGCGCTGAACTCAGCGCGCGCAGGCTTCGGCATGCCGGCAACTCTCCGCAAGCAGCGGCAGTGCTGCCGCTGCTTGCGGAGAGGTCCGCGAGCCTTGGCTGGACAGCTTTTGAAGGCAGGTGGGGGACAAGACTTTCGCCCCCGCCAACCTTCAGAAGAGGTCCAGGACCTCTTCTGAAGGCTGGCGGGGGCAAAGTCTTTGTCCCCCTGCCTGCCTTCCCAGGGGCTTTAAATTGCCCCGGACAGCGGAGAAGTCCTCCGCTGTCCCGGGGCAATTTTAAAATGCCGCCCGCCAGCATTTTAAGATCGCCCCGGACAGCGGAGAAGCCCTCCGCTGTCCCGGGGTTTTTTAAAATGCTGGGGGTGGGAAGAAAAGCCCTTGTCCCCCCCCCCCCAGCCTTCAGAAGAGGTCGGGGGACAGACTGTCCCCGGACCTGGTCTGAAGTCGGTTTCCCTAGGAACGCATTAATTGATTTTCAATGCATTCCTATGGGAAACCGTGCATCGCAAGACGAAAAACTCGCAAGAAGAAAAAACTTGCGGAACGAATTAATTTCGTCTTGCGAGGCACCACTGTATCTGTATGATATATTTACGACACTTGATTTTAGCCCAAAGGCCAAGAAGCCACGTACATGATATATTCGTGCAATGAACGGCATTGCTTGCAATGAGACATTTGAATTTATTTAGGCACATTGGTTCCCAAACTCCCCACCGCTGTGGACAACTTGAAGTTGCAGGGTTGCCATAGTTGGAAGACCAAAGAAGCGGACACATTTGCCGACTTCTGCTTTTAACCGTGGATTGCTATGATGGCTCTCATTTTACATACCCATGAAAAAGAGGATGTGTCCGGGAAAAAGAGGACATATGGGGAAAAAGAGGACATAAGGCAACACTATTTGTATAATGTGGCAGATGCTGTGTAATTTTTAATTGGTGTATTTATTGCTTCTTTTGTTTCTTGCATTTTTATTGTGTTACTGTTTGAATTCCGTAGAACACAATTAAAAATCAATATAAAAGAAGCAATAAAGATACAATTTAAAAATCAAGATGAATGTTGATTTTTCTCATCTTCAACCACAAATCCACAGAGATGCCGCAAACCCCCTGAGTAAAGCCCTCAGATCACAGTTTGGGAACCCCTGTGAGATTACATAACATATGTATTTATTATAATTGAAATTAACTATTTGAAATAATATTTTTAAATGTTTTTTTAATAGTAACATTTTAAACAGCATAACAACATAATAAAACATAACCACAAAGGGAACAGTATTGGGAGGGGGGAAGTTAACCAGAACAATCATATTAGTATTGGAAACATTGTTTTAACCAATTATCTAAGAAAGCATAGTGTTGGGACATGGTAAGCTGTAAGCAGTGGAGCCATGAAATGTAAAATGTACCCAGATATTTCTGGATAAAACTTCACAATTGCAGTAGTTGCCAGTAATCCTAGCTTTGCTATGCTACATTTTACTTAGGGCAGGAAAGAAATTCTGGATTCTGATTTGCAGTCATAAACTAATGGAATCAAATTTGCAGACTAATCACATATTTCTTGCGTCCAGAGGAGATTAAATTATTTTATGACATTTATATCTACTTTATTTCCATTAATGGAACTCAAGGGTTCCCATGCAACCATTCATTCAGTCAATGACTACTAAACTCCTTCCTGAGCATGCATTTAGATTTACAGTGTATAAAAATTTTGATATCCGGCTGCAGATAAAGTAGCATTGGGTTTCTAGATAGCTGACTTGACAGCCAGACATTGGTATTTTCCTCAGCATGTGCTATTTAATGTGTTACTACTGCTTTAGCATTGTGCAGCCCATCCTAATTCTGCCAGATTATAAATTTAGATAAACCTTATTCTCATTTTCTCAGATAGTGGTAGGTGGAGAAACGTCAACTTTAGCCACTTACTCTCTCTTGCTGCAGCACCATAATCTGCTTTACCTGAAGACAGGAAAGTTCTCAAGTGGGAGAAGCCAGCTTTGTGTATTTCCAAACCAAAAAATGGGTGTGAGGTCATAGTATATGCACATCTGGTTAGTGCCAGGACCAATTGCCATTTGGCTCCTCTTCCAGAAGCTTCTTTTCCTCTCCGCTGCCCATTCATATTTTTTTTTCTTTTGCACCACACCTATTTCTGAGCTTGTTGGCAGGCACTGTTTTATTATTTAAAGTCTGTACCGTGCCTATATATTTTAGGTACTTTTAAAATGAAAGTACAGTACTTGAAAATCTCATTTAAGCCATTCTGAGGTTTCTGAAGGATGAGCTGGATAGAACTGCCATAAATAAATGCAGATTATTTTTACTTTCCCTCCAAGCTGCTGAACATTTCTGCCATGGGTGAAAGAAGTCTGCTTTTGTTTTTGAGCAGAGATTGCCCACTCCCATATCCCCCCCCCCCGCCCGCCCGCTCTTCAGTTTTCAAATTTTCGCTTGCAAAAGGAAAGGAACAAGATGCTGACCTCGAAAAGACTAGAAATCAGCAATCCTTAACAGTTTATTGACACTGTTGATTTCTGTTTTGTTCCAGCTGGTATTGTAGGAGCTCCTGCCATAACTGTAAATTGAAACTACAGATTACCGTATTTTTCGCACCATAGGACGCACCGGACCATAGGACGCACTTTGTTTTAGAGGGGGGAGAGCAAGAAAAAAAAATCTCCCCCTCTCTGCCCAGCGCCCCTTCAGCGAAGTGGCAGGAGGCGCTGCGCAGAGAGGGGAGAACTTCACCCTCTTGTTTTCCCGCTCTAAAACAAGGTGCCGTTTAAGGTGCGTTCAGGCGGCAACCTTGGAAGCCTGGAGAGCGAGACCCTCGCTCTCCAGGCTTCAGGTTCCTCGACCTGCTCTTCGGGGCTGGCGGGGGGAAGCCCACCGCCAGCCCCAAAGAGCAGTTCAGGGAGCAGCGGAAAGGCGCAGCGGAGAGGCTCCTGCCATAGCCGTGCGTCACCTCTCCAGCCGGGAGAGGAACGCTGGGCTATGGCTTCTAGCCCCGCGCGCTCTCCCGGCTGGAGTGGTGACGGGGGGCTTTGGCTGGAGCTTCTATAGCCGCCCGTCACCTCTCCAGCAGCCCGCGCGCGCGCTCCTCCCGGCTGGAGAGGTGACGGGCGGCTATTGAGGCTCTTGCCATAGCCGCCCGTCACCTCTCCAGCCGGAGAGCGCGCGGAGCTAAAGCAGCCCCCGCGACCCTCTCCCGGCTGGAGAGGTGACGGGCGGCTATGGCAGGAGCTCTACAGCCGCCCGTCACCTCTCCAGCAGGCCCGCGCGCGCTCTCCCGGCTGGAGAGGTGACGCGCGGCTGGTGAGGTTCTTGCCATAGCCATGCGTCACCTCTCCAGCCGGGAGAGCGCGCGCGGCTCTAAAGCAGCCCGCGCGCGACCTCTCCCGGCTGGAGAGGTGACGGGCGGCTATTGAGGCTCTTGCCATAGCCGCCTGTCACCTCTCCAGCTGGGAGAGCGCGCGGAGCTAAAGCAAGAGCCTCAATAGCCGCCCGTCACCTCTCCAGCCGGGAGAGGGTCGCGGGGGCTGCTAGCCCCGCGCGCTCTCCCGGCTGGAGAGGTGACGGGCGGCTATTGAGGCTCCTGCCATAGCCATGCGTCACCTCTCCAGCCGGGAGAGCGCGCACGGGGCTAAAGCAGCCCCGCGACCTTCTCCCGGCTGGAGAGGTGACGGGCGGCTATTGAGGCTCTTGCCATAGCCGCCCGTCACCTCTCCAGCAGCCCCGCGCGGCTCTCCCAGCTGGAGAGGTGACGGGCGGCTATGGCAAGAGCCTCAATAGCCGCCCGTCACCTCTCCAGCCGGGCGAGCGCGCGCGGGGCTACAGCCAGAGCCTCAATCGCCGCCCGTCACCTCTCCAGCCGGGGGAGGGTCGCGGGGGCTGCTGCCCCGCGCGCGCTCTCCCGGCTGGAGAGGTGACGGGCGGCTATTGAGGCTCCTGCCATAGCCGTGCGTCACCTCTCCAGCCGGGAGAGGGCGCTCGGGGCGAAAGCCGCCCCCCGCGACCGTCTCCCGGCGGGAGGGTGACGGGCGGCTATGGCAGGAGCTTCTATAGCCGCCCGTCACCTCTCCAGCAGCCCCGCGCGCGCTCTCCCAGCTGGAGAGGTGACGGGCGGCTATGGCAAGAGCCTCAATAGCCGCGCGTCACCTCTCCAGCCGGGAGACGCGCGCGGGGCTAAAGCAGCCCCCGCGACCCTCTCCCGGCTGGAGAGGTGACGGGCGGCTATTGAGGCTCTTGCTTTAGCCCGCGCGCGCTCTCCCAGCTGGAGAGTGACGGGCGGCTGGCTGAGGCTCTTGCTTTAGCCCCGCGCACGCTCTCCCGGCTGGAGAGGTGACGGGCGGCTATGGCAAGAGCCTCAGCAGCCGCGCGTCACCTCTCCAGCCGGGAGAGGGTCGCGGGCTATGGCGTCTTCGCTCCATAGGACGCACACACATTTTCCCTTCATTTTTGAAGGGAAAAAAGTGCGGCCTATAGAGCTAAAAATACCGCAACTCAGTGTGAACTGGATCTAGCTGGTTTTTAACCCGCTGCCCCCCCCCCCCAAAGGCAGAAACAAATATATATGCATTTTCATCACAAAAGGACATTTTATGTGTTAAGGTTACATAATGGATAGTTAGGCATATGTTTTCTAGCAGTCTCAATGTGACTCTTGTCTCCAGTTATCAGAATCCATAGTGTGATGTGCGAAAGGTGAGGTGACAATATTTATTTGTGGGTATCCAGTTTTTGTTGGATTGCATTAAGATTTGGAGTAAAGGAGTTATCCCTCTACAGTTACTGTATTTTTCGCTCTATAAGATGCACCAGACCACAAGACGCACCTAGTGTTTGGAGAAGGAAAACAAGAAAAAAAATATTCTGAATCCCAGAAGCCAGAACAGCAAGAGGGATCGCTGCGCAGCAAAAGCAGCGATCCCTCTTTCTGTTCTGGCTTCTGGGATAGCTGCGCAGCCTGCATTCGCTCCATAAGATGCACACACATTTCCCCTTACTCTTTAGGAGGGAAAAAGTGAGTCTTATAGAGCAAAAAATACGGTAATTACAAAATTAATTGTATTTCCTTCTCTTTTTTACAGATAGCTGTGAGTTTTACAACATTTTCTGTGAAAATTCTCAGAGGCTGATCAACGTGCAGGCTTTTGCTCTCGCTGCTAAATATTACTCCATGCCAAACCTTGGTGTGTGTATCTCCTTAGAAGAGATGCTAGAAGCACTGGAAAGGACACAGCAGCCAAGGTCAGGTAAGTTATAATCTTGGAATCTATTTTTATATCTCCTTAAAGCTTTCTCCTTCCTATTCACCTGTTCTTGTTTACATGCGTTATGACATTCTGGATTCCTTTTCTAAGCAATTCAGAAATCTTTAAAACTTACATGTAGCACAATCCTATATATATGTCTACTCGCTGTCCGGCTGTGTTATGTGAGGCTAGGCTTGCTCCCAGGTAGAGCTGGGCTAAAGTTCTGGTAGAAACTTCTTCTGGTACGTTTAGGAGGCTTCATGAAGGGAGAACATCTTCCAAAGTTGGAGAGAAGGGACAAGCATCTGGTTTGGTGGAGGAGGAATGAGTAGGGACTACGCACAACACAACACACGAGGTGATCCGAAGGCAAGTTAATAAAGAGGCAAAAGCACTTGATTCACCACAGGGTGGATTTGATTGAAATCGAATCTATTGAAATCACGATTGAAATCACTAGTCAGTACGACTTGATTTAATTTTTTTTTTTACAGAAAGGCTCATTCTTGCGGTTATAATCTTAATATTTACAACCAGATGAAGATTTCGTTTTTGAAAGATAAATTTTCAGAGTAGTTTTTACAGTTATATAACAAAATTACATTGCATATAAAGCCTCATTCTACATAATTAAAAACAAATCCTTATTTCCTGATGAATAGCCTTTGGACTATAATGTAACTTATGGTAAATAGAAAACTATCTTTAGAAAGATTTTCCCCCCAAAAGCATTTTATTTTTTTTAAAAATCCGATTTTTTGTTTTGTTTTAAAAATCATTGATTTTTCTCCACCCAGATTCACCATAACTGTAAGTGTACACACACACACACACACACACACACACACATTGAAAAGGAAGGCCCCTGCTTCCAGGTAAGTGCATACAAATGCAATCCTAGTCATCTCTTCAAACATCATTACTGGGGCATCCTACTTTTTTCTTTTCTTTTTTTGCAACAATAGTGTTCAAATTTTTGTTTATTAGTCATACACTTGGCCGTGTGTGATTTCTTATATATTCCCAGCAGAACATCTTGTTTCTTTTCTCTGAAGAGTTCTCTCTGAATTTCACATGTCAAATGGCTTTTGGAAATCCTGTAAATTTCAAAACTGGGAGCTACTGCTCAAAAAAATGAAAGAAATCATAGCCACACTGAGCCAGCATAGTTAGTCGCATGGTCCAGGAGGGCAGCCATAGTAATATCACATTTAGTGCTTCTTACGTCTAGGTCCCTCGTTTTCAACTTCACACTCAAATTTTAGCTGCCACTTGGCAATTGGGACCACTTTACCTTGCTTTATGTTTTACAACTGCTGACTTTCTTCCTATCTCAGTGTCCTAAAACTTGCATAGTAGATACAAAACTCACAACCATTATAAATGGGGCACATAATTGTAATATAATCTGAAACCGTAAAAACAGAACAAAACTGAATCCAGAATAAGTTCCTTGTATTTAACAACATTAAAAGAAACCTATTAAGTTGAATGGAATTGCTTGGCAGTCACCTGGTGAGGCCAAATACCCAACTTCAGGGTTGTAATATGGTCTTTTTGTATGATCACTGGGACCTTTAAATGTAGAATGTTTTCCAGACATTCCTAGATTCATTTCTGTATTTCAGAAAAGAGGCACATCTGTTAACTGTTGAGAAATGTTCTTGAACAAATTGCATTTTTTGACAAAGAAATGTGCACAAAGAGAGGAATGTTACAACATTCAAACATATTGTTCTCGAAATTCTTTCATCTGGTTTTTATGATTTTCCTTATCAACATAAAAAGAAAAATATGTCAGAGATACTGCTTTGAAGAGCTACACAGTCTGCTTCAGAAATAACCAAAATAACTTGGAAACATGCTACCCACTTCTAGCATTACATTTACAAAAGTGTCTTTTTCCCTCTTAAAATTAAATTGCAGCTGTTTGTATATCTCAGAAGAGCATTGGCCTCATGAAACATCAATGGTGCTATGGAGTGCTTAAGCCTTTGAGAGGCTTCTGCTACCAAAGCATCTTTAAACTGTTTCCTTCAAGTATCCATTATTTGTATTTTAAACAATTAGGAATCAGGATTTCCCTGTACTGAAGCAACTCGTATTTGAGCATGATATTTGGTGTTTATGGGAAACCTAAACTTTAGTCAATCTTTTCTTTTGACTACATCAAAATTTGATAGCAGAACACAAAAATGACATGGCTGGTTTCTGCCTTCTTTGAATTTTGTTTGTCAGTATTAATTTTTTTGTGAGCTGATAAAATCTGCTGTATGATGACAGCTTTTGACCATACTGCCACATGTTTAAAAGCACAGCCCTTTTGGCAAGTCTCAAGATGGATTACTGGTATCGTTGGGAAACAATGATGTTAACTCTTCATTCCTTCATTCTTTAATTTTTAATTTAGCAAGTCTGCATGAGAATTCCTTAGTAACTGTTTTGTCTTCTCCTGCTGGTTTTCATTGCATAGGATTTTAATGCTTTTTTGTTATTTTCTCCTGTTTGTATTGGAAATTTCCCCCCTCTTGTTATAATAAAAATAATTTGAAAAAAGGAACAAATCAACATGGTGAACACTTTCGAACAAAATGGCCCAATGTGGGGTGTCACTGACAAAAGCTTTTATTAACAAGTTTTAGATCTTATTATTTTGAATTATCTAATTTATTCGATGAAAATCAATTGGGCCTAAGCAAAACTAATATTTACTGATAAGAATCAATAAAATCAGCTTTTCAGAATTGGTGTATAATTGGTTGTGCATTTTCTTTTAAAAAATTAAACCCTTCTAATTAAATTGCATTTTGTGTTGATCAGAAGTAGAGATAAAAACGGATGACTTCATGAACAATAAGAAGTCACATGAAGTGCAGCTGATGTCAGAGTTAGTAGACGGCATTGCAAAGTATTACGGCCTAAATCAGGTAAGAATTCTTATGATTTCATATTGTGTACTTATTTTAAAAAGTAAAGTCATACTTGTTCCAGTTTTGGACTTTAAAGCAAAGACCCATGGACTAGCCCCAGCCCCTTAGGGATAATAAATGCGATCAAGAAACCACTGATTATAGATTCAGTTCTCTGCAGGTTTGATCAAACACTTCAACAAGAGTCAGAAGTCAGAAATGTGGATGTAAAAACTAGACATCAGGACCATGGACAGAGTACAGTAGTCCAGCCAGAAAACAGGTACGCATAGGTATAGTTTTTGTGCTTTCAGGAGCCTGTTAAATATTTAGGGACTGTTAAGGGGAAGGGACTTTGGACTCAACATGCACTCCCACAGGCAGAAGAACCGTAGGCAATACTGCTACTCCCATGACTGTCCACTGGTGTACAAGGGACTTCCAAGTCAGGAATAGGCTGTGCAGGCTATGACCCTGGGATGTTTCCTATGGCGATTGAAAATGTACCTGTTTCCCCAAGCATTTCCCTGACCATCAATACCAGTTCCTGGCATTCCTGGTTATCGTGATTGATATTTTAACTTGGTTTTATTACGTTGTTCTGTTGTGATATTTTGTTTCAGCGCTACCCTCAGTACGTCTACTCTGAAGTGAGTATAGCATTGCAGAGCTAGTGTGGTGTAGTGGTTAAGAGCGGTAGTTTCGTAATCTGGGGAACCAGGTTCGCTTCCCCGCTCCTCCACATGCAGCTGCTGGGTGACCTTGGGCTAGTCACACTTCTCTGAAGTCTCTCAGCCCCACTCACCTCACAGAGTGTTTGTTGTGGGGGAGGAAGGGAAAGGAGAATGTTAGCCGCTTTGAGACTCCTTTGGGTAGTGATAAAGCGGGATATCAAATCCAAACTCTTCTTCTTCACTGTAAAATTAGACAACTGTCTGTGTGGTTTGACATCTGATTGCAGTAATTGCAGAGTTGGAAAAGGTTCAGAAAAGGGCAACCAAAATCTTCAGGGGGTTGAAGAGACACCCCTATGAGGACAGGATGCAGTGTTTGGGACTTTTTGGTTTAGAGCAGGCATCCCCAAACTCGGCCCTCCAGCTGTTTTGGGACTACAATTCCCATCATCCCTGACCCCTGGTCCTTTTAGCTAGGGATGATGGGAGCTGTAGTCCTAAAACAGCTGGAGGGCCGAGTTTGGGGGTGCCTGGTTTAGAGATAGGCAAGTAAGAGGTGACATGGTAGAAGTTTATAAAATTAAGCCTGGCCTGGAGAAAGTAGGTAGAGGAAAGTTTTTCTCCCTCTTTCATAAAACTAGAATTTGTGGGCAATCCCTTGAAGCAGAACGTTGGAAGAATCAGGAGAAAACACTTTTTCACACAGCACATAGTCATAGCTGTCAACTTTTCCCTTTTCTTGCAAGGAACCCTATTCGGAATAAGGGAATTTCCCTTTAGAAAAGGGAAACGCTGACTGCTATGCGCATAGCTAAACTCTGGAAGTCACTCCTACAAGAGGCAGTGATGGCCACCAGCCTACATGGCTTGAGCAGGATTAGATAAATGCATGGAGGAGAGGGCTTTTGATGGCTACCATCCATAACTTCTATTCTCTCCCTTCACTGATAGAGGCAGGAATGCTTCTGAATACCAGTTGCTGGAAACCACAGGAGGGGAGAGCGCTCTTGTGCTTGGGTCCTGCTTGCAGGTTTCCCACAGACATCTGATTGGCCACTGTGAGAATAGGATGCTGGATTAGATGGGCCATTGGCCTGATCCAGAAGGCTGTTCTTACAGTCTTAATTGTAACCCAGACTTTCCACAATTTGCACTGAATATAAAATAGAGACTTGGAATGCCAATAAAGGTATTTGTATTGTATTGTATTGTAAAATAGAGGCTGTTTATGATTAAACGTTTTAGTCAATCAATGCATTGTAATATTGCATTGTTTGCTCAGAATTGCAAATCCCTAATACCCCCAAATGGCCTTTTGGTTACACTGGAATTAATATGGGGGGTGGGGTGGATAAAAGCACTCCCTGGTTTTAGTTAATGGAAAAAATGCAAGACTTTAGGAGAGATTTTTCATATTGGATTCTTTTCAGCCTTTCTCATAAAAGTATGCCAAATATAATTAAAGTGTAGCGCTATGAAAAACACAAACACATGGTTTACAACAGTACATATCTTTTTAAGAGGGTTCTTTTTAAGGGACTCCAGTCTCTGGCCTTAGTTTCAACTTTTTACCTGCAATGTATAATGGGTGGTAGAAGATACTGTGATGATATGGTGGTTGGTTGTATAGCAAAATTAAAGTGCATACCGGTATACAGTGGTGCCTCGCAAGACGAAATTAATTCGTTCTGCGAGTTTTTTCGTCTTGCGAATTTTTCGTCTTGCGAAGCACGGTTTCCCATAGGAATGCATTGAAAATCAATTAATGCGTTCCTATGGTCAAAAAAAGTCCAAACAAAGCCAAATTTGTTACAAAAAGAGTTTATTAAGTGCTCTTTAAAGTCACACATACTGTAAAGAGCATTTCAAAAACTGAAGGAACAATAATTTAAGTTTCTAAACATGACAGAAAAGCATTTAAAAATCACCAAAGTGTACTGTACATACATTTTCTAAGACTCTGGGGACAACTCGAAGAAGGTTCCTCTTCCACTCTTTGCTTCTTGCTGAAGAACCTGTCCATGGTCTGCTGCTTCATCCGACTTTTCAGCACCTCCCTGAAAGACGACATGACCCTCGTATCAAAAGTGTTCTCAAGGTCACGTGTCAGGTCCTTGTCAGGGTGGTGCCGCTGTGCAAAAGCCTGCACATCTTTCCACTTCTGGCAAATGTCCCTCAGTTCTTTGGAGGACAGCCGTTCCTCAGTTGCTTCCTCCTCTTCCAGCGAGGCCTGCTCCTGCGCAGCCTCTGCCTGCAGTTCGACCAGCTCCTGGGTGGTCAGCTCGTGGTCGTGCTCCTCCACCAGCTCACTGACGTCCTCCTCTGTGACCTCCAGGCCCATGGTCCTCCCCAAGGAAACAATGTCCTGCACCACTGTTGACTCTGATGTACTTATTTTGAAAACTATTACTTTCGAAGTTAATCAACAGATTTTTACCAAAAAAAAATCAAGTTCATTGTCTATTTTATGAATGGCTGCAATTTGGATGCCTTGAGATTAAAAAAAAAGGGATCCTGTGGTCCTCCGGATGTTGTTGGTTTCCAACTCCCATCACTCGTAGCCAGTGTTCAGAGACCATGGAATTACAGTCTTCACAACATCTGGAGGGCCACAGGTTCTTCATCCCTGTTTTAGATGAAGAAAATAATTGTAATAGTATTTTAATACTACACTGAGGCATAATCTAAAAAAATATATAAAACCTTTTCTCTACAATAGCATTGAATTGTGTTGGGACCAAGTCAAGTTGTTGTTTTACATGTAGTTTGAAGTATCTTGGAAAGGACCTCCTGGCTTAGTTAGTGCAGATGCAAGCTAATAAACAAGAGGCAAGAATAGTATCAAGACCCATAAATGGATATCTTTAAGCCCATTTCATTAGTTAATCAAAGCCGCCTGGTTGCCACAACCCCCTGGTTACTCCCACACTGCTCCCAGTGATATACAGGGTTAGGGGGGATTGTGTGACTATGCACCACACTAGCAATGCACCCTGTAACGCAATAGGTTTTGCTAGTATGTAATTGCACGGCCCACCAACAATAGTCCTACCCAATTCTCCACGTGGAGAAGGAGGTTGTGGACTGTGTTGCTAGCCCCATCCCCAGTATCATGCATGGCACTGACTCTGATGCCTGGATAGTTTAATGGGACGCGGGTGGTGCTGTGGGTCTAAACCACTGAGCTTCTTGGACTTGTCGATCGGAAGGTCAGCGGTTCAAATCACCGTGACGGAGTGAGCTCCTGTTGCCCTGTCTGCGGACAAACGACAGCTCCCTTGGCCTGAAAGCGAGATGAGCGCCGCAACCCCATAGTCATCTTTGACTGGACTTAACTGTCCAGGGGTTCTTTACCTTTACCTTAGTTGTACGTTGGATAGTTCTACGTTGGTATTGATGTTTGTATCAGGAAAGCTTTTGAATAAGCAACTTCTCATGGATGGTGTGGAAATCCAGGAGACAGAGCGATAGCCATTCATGATGCTGAGGGCAGGGCCAGCAATGCAGTTCTTTGGTTCGCTTCTCTACTCATAGTGCCGGATTCAACCAAGGAGGTCCACTGTGGAAGCCTGCACAAGGAATTCTGCTAGTGCAATAGAGGAAGGAGTGGAAGGAAGCTGAAATGCTTGTGCTCATTGAATCTCTCCCAAAGCTTATACATATGGAGAGCATCTAGTTAGGTCTTATTTGGGCAGAAGATGCAATCTCATAATGGTAGTAGCCTTGCTCTGTGCAAATAGAACCTTACTTGAACCGTTAAGACTTGAAGTGTCTTTAAGAATCAGTTGTCCTGCTGTGGCAAGTGATTGTCTTTTCTGGCTCCTGTCTGGGAACAATCTTTTTCGTGAATGAGAAACTGCAACTTGTTGAATGATAGAGACTTTTCCCCCCAACCTGGTTTTCTTACGGTACATTTCAAAGACAAAATCGTGTATACCGTATGCTTGTGTTTGTAAATGTTCTTTGGCATTTACCAACACTTCCAGAACATGCGGATAGTCTGCTAGGTTTTAAAAGCAAGCCAGTGATAAATTATACCTTTTCAAATACTGGCGACTCCCTGTTTGAGTGTTCTGGGCCATTGTGTTCATCGGTGGTCGGGCATAACCCGTTGCGCCACCACCCCATTCCACCTTCTTCTGGGGTTGAAAGTGATGCATGTGTTGGTGATCATGAATCAGTCAGATGTGTGCAGAATGGTTACCGCCTGTAAACAGATGTTAATTAGAAAAGACCAAAATGTACCACTGATACATGGCAAAAGGCTAAAGATCCAGAGAACAGACTAGGGGGATAGAGTCCATTCGCCAGGCTCAGCCCCAAGGCCAGCAGTGAGGGGCCCACTGGGGGGGAGGAAAAGGCCTATTCCAGCTGCCAGCTTAATTGCATTCCCTGTCTCACATGCTATGTAAACCCAGCTTATGTAATTTTAAAAGATAATTCACTTCTAAAATGTTTCCCTTGCTAACTAAGTTGCAGGGAATTTTGTAGCTTATAATGAGATAAAAACAAAACAAATATAAACTATAATAGCATGAAAAACCATTAGAATAGAACATAGCCCTTGATAAAGCTTTTTAAGTTTGGTCCTTTTAATATCTGTTGAATAGTACACATGCAGCCAGCTTTTGGGCTGAAGCTTTACTTCTGACTTGCCATTAAAATGTTTTGCCTTGTTGCATTAAAGTTTTTGCCTTGTTGCTTACAAGGACTGTATTTGGACATAGTATTTAACCCAATAAAGATTTCATTATGTCTTGGAACTTTCACTTTTAATAGTTTATTCTTGGCATTGCCTTTCCAAGTTGAGTCAGTGGTATTTCAGTGGGGATTAGCTTTTTCCAATGTGCTTAGCATAACTTTCACTGCACTTTTCAAAGGGAACACAAATGTTCATTAAAAATGTATAGTGTTGACGTACATATGTGATTTCCTTGATTAAAAAGTTGAGTAGAAATGGCTTGCTGAGGTAGCACTGGCAATTTGACAGACACTAGAGGTCAGTAAAGGACAATCCATTATTGTTTTAAGCCTAAACCTCAAGTTCCTGTCAAAGAAAGGTTGAACTGCATATCGAAACCACAGCAAAGGTGTTGAAGGATCAAAGAGATTGTAAATTACATTAATATAGAGTGTTACGTTTTCACCAGTTGTTGGGAAATCATTTCATAAGTTCCTTTTGTCATAGTTGCAGATGAGAATATTTGGTGTAGATTTCACGTGCTTGAGAAGGAAAGAGAGAATGTTTCCTCTTCTCTCAGACCTTTGTCTATAGAAAATGGAAGATTCTGGTATGAGATGTATTTTTGTATATGGAAGCATCAATCAGTTTCTCCCTTTGTAAGTTCTGTCCATTTCAAATACTTGCATTTTGTAATATTGATAACCGTTCTTTCTATAGTGTGAGACAAAATTTTAAGGGTTGATCTTCATATTTGATAGAGAGCTTTTTTGGATTCAAAATCACTTCCATAAAAAGAGTGGGACATTCATTTTAACATTAATATTGGAGGCTCTTTACATGTCCATGTGACTTTTTGTATATTCTTAATGAAAGCTAAACTGAACATTAATTCAAATAAGAACTTATTTAGCAGAGTGAAAGTTACTTTAATTGACCGTGTTTTCTAATGTCAACAAGGTATGGTAGAAGTATACGATAAAAACAGATTATAAGCACACACTTCTCAATAATAGCAGGAATGAGCATGGGGAAATCCACTTCCTGGAAGTCTGGGAGCAGCTCTTTCATGGAGACGAAAAGCTCAAAATGAATTCCTCTGGGCTCATTCAAGTGATATTTTCCTCACAGAATCTAACCTAACCTGGGACCAGGATTTGTTCTCCATTCATTCTGAGGATAGGTGAATGAATGAACCAGCCAAGACAAGAGAGCTGGTGTGTAAGAAGGGAAGAACATGTATACAACCTAACTTTAGCTGTGAGTTCACTAGATGGGCTTGGGCAAGCCACTGCTCTCTTAGCCTCAGCTCACCAGCTTCGATACTGGGCCTGTGTTCTAGTTCTGTTCTCTAAAGGTTTATGAGATCTCTCTCTCTCTCACACACACACCAATTGGAACAACTGAAATATGATATTGAAATGCTGTTATTAAACATCATACTGTGCTTGAACGTAATATTTTCTTCCAATGCATACAGCCACTTCTCCTGAAATTGAAGAGGTTTAGGGAGGGAGCACCTGAGCTCAAGACCTTCTCTTTGTCACTCCTCAGGTCCTAGTAAATTACCCTTTCGGGGGAGAAATTTGCAGACCAAATACAAATTCTTAAAGACTTGTTTCCGAGTCTAGGACATTTGAATTTTAAATTACTGCATTGTGACATTATCAGGTAGTATAGTTTTACCTTGTGCTAACCTTGAGGGAGATATAAACGCTAACAGAACTATTTAAATCACAGGACCTACACTCCTCCCCCCCCAATTAATTTTATGGTTTATAGTTGCTGCCTACAAATAGTATCTGCTACTTTTAAAAAGTTATTTTTGTTATCTGTGTTCTAGGTTATTGACCTGGGATCTGGAAAAGGCTACCTGAGCTCCTTCTTGTCATTGCAGTATAATCTGAAGGTTTACGGAATTGATTCCTCAAACACAAACACCCACGGAGCTAATGAAAGGAACAGGAAATTGAAGAAACACTGGAAAGCCTATCAAAGACGGGGAAGAGCAAATGTCAGAGAGCAAGTGTTGGAAGAGGCAAATGAAAGGCCACAGCAAGATAAAGGGAAATGTAAAGCAAATATCAGTGAAAAGCTCTTAAGTACTAATAACAGTCTTCAAAGTCAGGCCCAGGTGGCTGCTCCAGATTCCATTCTTTTTGAAACAGCTGATGTTTTCACAGACTCTGATAAGTGTATTACTAACAAACAGTATGAACTTCACTCGGGGGCTCAGCTGCAGCCCGAAGAGAGCAACATTCCGGAAAATGTATTCCTAAGTATTCTGCCTGCTGACGCTGTGGAAACTGACTGCTCAACCAGAAGTAATTGTAGGGAGCTCTGTGAAGAGGAGAAAGAACGAAGGAAGATGGCTTCCCTTAAAGAGAAAGCAAGCCGGTCAAAAGAAGCCAACGTATATTCTCCATTAACGTCATACGTCACTGCAGAAACAGAGCTGCGAGACATTGTTGAAGATCTGGAGGTTATTTTGCTTGTTGTTATAATCCAGGTTGCTTGTGAATAAACCCATTCTGCTATTACTTTTACAGTCCTGCTAAGAGACAAGGAGACTGTGTTTCCTTGGCTGGTGCCACAGAGCAAAGTCTATCCTCTGTGGCCAATGTGGAGACATATGCTATTAGCCTCTCAGCTGGCTATTAATAAAGAAAGAAAGTTCCTTTTACCAAGTCAACTGGAATAGGAGTCGTCTTTCCCTCCTACGTTCCCTCCTACATAGAATTCCTGGTCTGGTCATCACTATAAGGCAAATTGTGAAGTAGAACTCTAGGCTACTTAACCTCATTTTAAAAATATTTTCTGCTACATCTTTATAACATTTTTTTAAAAACAGCACAGAGGAAATAGAGCATCGGATCCGTTTTATAACGACACCATTGCTATTATTTAGAAGTGCCACACTAAATGTTTCATAAGTACAGGCTTAGCTAAGTGGAGGTTTGATTCATAAATGGAAGTTCCTTGCCATTCAAATTTCCTTGATCCATTGTTCCCTATATTTAAACATGTTCATATAGCCTGTATAAAGTCACTTTCCTTAAATTTCAGGAACATACTTTGACTAAAAATTCCCTTTATTTAATTTTTTTTTTGCTAATTTTACAATGTCCCTGAGTTATCATCTCACTTTATTAACTCATTTTATTAATTTTGAAGCTTGAAATATTTCACGTCGAGAACAGTGGCAGACAGGGGGCTGGTGTGCTGGAGCTCACCCGACCTCCCGAGAGCTAAGTGGCTGCTTTTTACAGCATACTGCCTGGGTGTAAATATATTCAGTGTGGAAACTTCTTCCCAAGAGACCTTAATAAATCCAAGAGGCCTTAATTTCTCCATTCTCTTCCACCTATAGGTAGGAGAGAGCTGGAGGAATAATGCAAATGATCTTTGCCTCGTCACATACATAGTGGGCTTCAAAATTTGCGGTGTATGACAATTCATTAATGGTGAGCTCAATTCTGAATGTGTATTATTTCTATTCTGTTCCAGGACTGTGTAGTGGTGGGTCTACATACCTGTGGTGATCTTGCTCCGAGCACCCTGCGACTTTTTACTGCTAGACCTGAAATCAAGGCAGTTTGCAGTGTCGGCTGCTGTTACCATCTTCTGTCAGAGGAGCATGAAACTCAGGAAGGTACAGCAAGCCTTTTCTACCTGAGTCCTTTTTTAAAAATCTATTTAATTAATAATGTCTTTGGTTTCTTTTATTGACTCATTTCTTACTGCTTTTCATTATGACTTGTAGAAGACCCACTTGTGCATGCCCTGTGGCTTTCCTGTTTTGCCACTCTCTTTTATATTTGTAATATTTGGTCATAGGCTTATTAATACAGAATGCTTTAATGTGGTTATAAAGACAGCTGTTTTTACTTGGCTTCACTTAAAAATATGTGTTTTTGTTCATCATTATATTTCCATCCACATAACGTTTATATCAGATTTTGCCGTTAGCAGTGTACCCATAACACCACACTGATTCATTATACAGTGAGTTGTGCATTTAGGCCTTTGGAAATACTGTGGCTGTTTACAATCATAAGCCAAGTTGGGAGGAAACGTTAGAAGATTATGATGTCAATGTGCTTGCCACTTAAACTGGTTTAACTTCCTTAAGTATGTAAATGCACAAACAGAGAAGTTTAATGGGTTTGTAGATAACAGCACACTTGTATAATTAGAGAGCAAATAGTTTCAGAAAATTTCATTATGGGAACAGAATGGTTTTATATATGTATATACCTTTCCTTAAACATGATCTGAAATACGAAATATAAAACTTACCCAGAATTATCTTGCAGATTACTAAAAAAATAATAATGCTTCAGTATTACAGTAAAGAACAACCTTTGGCTTTAGATTTCAGACACGTTTGCATTAGTTTAGTTCACAAGACCCATTAGTTTACCACAATGTGCATGAGCCATAGTGAGCTTAGAGTTTATGTATTCCCCATCTCCAGTCTTCCTCCTGTGTGACCGGGAGGAGTTTGGAAGCTTTTGCAGCTTATCATATCATCTGGATCCAGAACTGTTGCTATGTAATCTTAACTATGGTTAGTTTCAGCATGCCAGTTTCTGTGAAGTTGACTTGCTTGAAGCACAAATGTGAATTCTAGAAGGGTAGTTGTGTTAGCTTCCTGTAGCAAAAGATTATGAACTTTAGCATTTCAATTTATTGTGCCTTAAGCTTTTATGGCCTAGGGATTGCTTCCGTTGCTGATTGTACTCAGAGTAGAACCACTGATGTTTATGGACAAGACTAACTTAGTCACATTAACCCTCCAACATCCTACATGCCCTCAAAAAAAATTCTGGAGGGTTGGGGGACCCTCTGGAACAGATTTTGGGGGCACACAGGGTCAGAGAGGAAATGGGAGACAGTGCACATGTAGGAAGGAGTGATATGTCACACACCAAGATCCCAAACCATGGAGGGCTTTAAAAAGAAAAACCAGCACATTGCATTGGGATTGGAGAAGATAAAATATTGGACTCATAATACACAGTTCTAGCTAATACTTTAGCAGCCATATTTTGTACCAGCTAAAGTTTTGGGCTCATTTTCAAAGGCAGCTCCACATCCAAGGCATTGCAGTCATCCAAACAAAGGTGACATATCACTGGAGCCAGGTTATCTCTTATAACAGAGAGGTGACTTCAGACTCTAGTGCCACGGACAGACCATTGAGCCACCCCTAAACAACAGGCCTCAACTTTTAACCTGCTCTTGAATCGCTAGAGTTTCACATTAGATTCTAAATCCATGGCATGTTGAAAGATTATTTGGTTATGATCCAGAGGAGAGACACACACAAGCCCATTGAAATCAATTGAGCTATACATGCTCAGATTTAGATTGTGTTCCTCGTTTGGAAATTCAGTTCCATTGACATGTAAAGGAACTGCACATTCTTTTAGAAGCATTGTTTGATATAGAACTTGAGGTTTTTTTATGTCTGACCCTCTTGAAATGATGAAAGAATCTACTTCTGTCTTCCACAATATCAATCTAAAAGCAGGAGACTTTGATACCATGGCAACTCATGAAGTGCTCCAAAGAAAAGATCAAAGCACTTGATTTCATTTCCATACCATCTCTAAATATTGCTGTATGGCACATGTTTGCATTGTTTGAATCAATTTGTGAGATATCTGAAACATGGCTGTAAAGGAAATAACAGATGTTTTTAACTAATATGTATGCTGAAACATTTAAAAATCATTATCTTATTAAATTTCACTATAGCTCTCTGACAGTCCCCCCCCCCAAGTGACCAGTTCAAAATACAGAGGGGTTTTATTGAAGAAACAGTACAGAAGAAATTCAAAATTCCGGTTTCAGTCTTTCTTTTTTGCCCCTTGAAGCATACATTAAAATAAAGGCGTTTCTTCACTGAATACATGAACTCCAGTATTTTTATTGTGTCTTGAAAGAGTACATAGATGCTCCGACTGGAACTATCGTTGGGTGGGCTCTCGGCAATGATTTTTTTTTTTATTCACGTACTGAAAAATATCCAATGCAAATTACCCTATTCTCTGGAAAACCCATATCCATATTTGTGGATTGTGTATAGCTATATTTGTCATCTTTATATGTGAGAGTTTTGCAAGAAGAAAAGAGAGCTTTATAGCCATCCAAAGCAAGCAGATGATTGAGGCAGCGATAAGCAGAGGAAGAGTTTGTGTTAATTGGCTAGACGTACTTTAGCTTACTTTACGACAGCTTCCTGGAATAAGCGTGTTTTGAGGAGTGACCTGAACAAAGTAAGGGAGTTGGTCACACTGAGTTATATAATAATAATAATAATAATTTATTATTTATACCCCGCCCATCTGGCTGGGTTTCCCCAGCCACTCTGGGTGGCTTCCAACTGAATATTAAAAACAGTACAGCATCAGACATTAAAAACTTCCCTAAAGAGGGCTGCCTTCAGTTGTCTTTTAAAAGTAAAATAGTTGTTTATTGCTTTGACATCTGCTGGGAGGGCGTTCCACAGGGCAGGCGCCACTACCGAGAAGGCCCTCTGCCTGGTTCCCTGTAACCTTACTTCTCACAATGAGGGAACCGCCAGAAGGCCCTCGGCGCTGGATCTCAGTGTCCGGGCTGAACGATGGGGGTGGAGATGCTCCTTCAGGTATACAGGACCGAGGCCGTTTAGGGCTTTAAAGGTCAGCACCAACACTTTGAATTGTGCTCGGAAACGTAGTGGGAGCCAATGCAGATCTCTCAGAACCAGTGTTATGTGGTGCCGGCGGCCACTCCCAGTCAGCAGTCTAGCTGCTGCATTCTGGATTAATTGCAGTTTCTGGGTCACCTTCAAAGGTAGCCCCACGTAGAGCGCGTTGCAGTAGTCCAAGCGGGAGATAACTAGAGCATGCACCACTCTGGCAAGACAGTTCGCGGGCAGGTAGGGTCTTAGCCTGCGTACCAGGTGGAGCTGGTACACAGCTGCCCTGGACACAGAATTAACCTGTGCCTCCATGGACAGCTGTGAGTCCAAAATGACGCCCAGGCTGCGCACCTGGTCTTTCAGGGGCACAGTTACCTCATTCAGGACCAGGGAATCCCCCATACCCGCCCGCCCCCATCCCCCAAAAACAGTACTTCTGTCTTGTCAGGATTCAACCTCAATCTGTTAGCCGCCATCCATCCTCCAACAGCCTCCAGGCACTCACACAGGACCTTCACCGCCTTCACTGGTTCTGATTTAAAGGAGAGGTAGAGCTGGGTGTCATCTGCATACTGATGAACACCCAGCCCAAACCCCCTGATGATCTCTCCCAGCGGCTTCATATAGATATTAAAAAGCATGGGGGAGAGGACAGAACCCTGAAGCACCCCACAAGTGAGAGCCCAGGGGTCTGAACACTCATCCCCCACCACCACTTTCTGGACACGGCCCAGGAGAAAGGAGCGGAACCACCGTATAACAGTGCCCCCAGCTCCCAGCCCCTCTAGACGGTCCAGAAGGATGTTATGGTCGATGGTGTCAAAGGCTGCTGAGAGATCCAGCAGAACTAGGAAACAGCTCTCACCTTTGTCCCTAGCACGCCGGAGATCATCAACCAGCACGACCAAGGCAGTTTCAGTCCCATGGTGAGGCCTGAATCCCGATTGGAAGGGATCCAAATGGTCCGCATCCTCCAGGCGTGCTTGGAGTTGTTTGGCAACCACCCGCTCAATCACCTTGCCCAAGAATGGTAAATTTGAGACTGGGCGATAGTTGGCCAAATTGGGTGGGTCTAAAGATGTTTTTTTAAGAAGCGGTTTAATGACCGCCTATTTCAGCGGGTCTGGGAAGGCTCCCTCACAGAGGGAAGCATTCACCACCCCGCAGAGCCCATCGCCCAGCCCTTCCCGGCTTGCTTTTATCAGCCAGGATGGGCAAGGATCAAGGAGACAGGTGGTCGGTTTCACTTGTCCAAGCAGCCTGTCCACATCCTCGGAGGTAACAGATTGGAATTGATCCCATGTAACAGGACTAGACAGAACTCTAGCACTCTCCCGCCCTGGCCCTGCTCCCACGGTGGAGTCTACCTCCTTCTGAATCTGAGCGACTTTATCTGCAAAAAACTTTGCAAAAGCATTGCAGGAGATCTTGGGGTCCCTACCAGGCCCGGTGGTGCAGGTGGTTCCGATGGATTGCGAACCACCTGAAAAAGTCTCCTGCTGCTGTTTTCTGCAGATGCAATGGAGGCGGTGAAGAAGGCCCTCTTCGCCGTCGCCATTGCCACTTGGTAGGCTCGACGTTGAGCTCTAGCCCGTGTCCGGTCTGATTCAGAATGAGTTTTCCGCCACCGGCGCTCTAGCCGTCTCAATGATTGTTTCATCACCCTCAGCTCTGGGGAAAACCACGGGGCTGTCCGGGCTCCATGCAATCGGAGAGGGCGCTTCGGACCCAGACAGTCAATAGCCCTTCAGTTGTTCTGAAGGACAGTTTCAAGCAGTTTTGAAGTGGGTGTGGTGGCGTATATGAAGGAGCAGGAGACCTTTGGGCAACTGAAGCAAGATGCAGCTGGATGAGTGAAGGGAATAGTTGTGCTGGAACATAAAAGTGGGGAGATGGGAATGAGGCCGTGAACCATTTTGAATGAAAGAAGCTTGTGCAGGGTGTCCAAGAAGCCAGTGTACAGATTAGAGGAGGGATTTTACATGATCAGAACAATGCGAGAGGTGGATAATGTTGGTAACAAGAGTGCTTGATGGATGTGTGTTGGTGGAAGGTGGATTGTAGTCATAGTTATTTACTGGGGGGGAGGGGGACATTAAGGATGAAGGGTGAATAATGGAATATGTGACTCATTTTCTAACTTAAAAGTCTGAAATCCACCTACGAGTATGGCGTAAAAACAGTTGCATTTCTGTTCTTCTGTAGGTATTTAATTAAATCTTAAAAGCACTACAAGATTTTTATAGAGTTTCACCTCAACTAAAAAATGAAATACATATGAAGGCTTGTATAGTTAGGTGTCTTTATAGCTCCCAACACCATATTGAAAAGGATATTGCATTAGTTTTAATGCAGAACGCAATACACAAATGGTTGTAGAACATCTTTTAAAAGTGATTTTTCTATAATCTAAGAATGAATACGGACAAATATTTCTGTGCTTCTTGGTTTTCACTCAAGTGTGATATTTAGTGCTGGTTGGTTGTGATCCCATCTTCTTATTAGTAAAACCTGTTCAAATGCACAGACCAAAAAAAATGCCGCTGATGTAATCTTCCCAGTTCTTGTTCCGTTTTGAGTGACGTTCTCAGTGGTATGGTTTCACAACAGCATCCTTGACAACTCTGGACAGGGCTCAGGTTGGAGAATCCTCTAGAGCAAGGTGAATCTGTCAATAAAACAACAAAACGATCTCATAACGAAATAATATAATCCGCCTCCCAAGTCCTGTAATGGTGGCTGCTCTCTGAGTATGAAATATACCCAGAGCCAAATAAAATAAAGATCTAGAGAAACCTGCTTGTAATACTTTAGATGTAGATGTGCATAATGTTGCCATTTGGGAGCCCCAGTGAAAGCAGGGTTTCACTTTCAGTACAACTTCTGTGCTACTCAGCCTTTTGTTTTATGCCTAGACTGAAGTGTTTTTAAACAACTTAAAGAAAACTAGTCCATTAGCACTTGTCATGGTATTGTTTTTAATATCTTTCTGTATAGGATGTGTGTGCCATAGTGTCCCAATCCCAGTTCTCATAACTTAAATACTTAATATTTCAGCGATAATAAGTCACCTTTTCTGTCTGAATGCATAATTACAGTGATTAATTGCATATTACTTACCCATTCATCTTTTTTCATAGAAAACATTTCGTGTCTTCCAAGCATCGTTTCAAAATCTCTTTCCTTTCCCATAACTTCTCTTTATATTTGTGTATAAAGCAGCTTATTTAATGTATACGTGTGTGTGTGTGTGTGTGTGTGTATCAATGCAATAAACAGAAGAAGGATGGCTAATGGGTCTTTCCTATAGGAAGGCTTATTATAACGTTTTGTGTAATGTGGTCTTAGCCTCTGGGTTTTGAGAAACTGTGTTTGCAGTACCAAAGTGTCCTTCTTGGGGTGCAAGCCTGGGCATTGCATATGGAGGTCCTGGGCTGCCCAGACGACAAGACCCCGCTCTTGGCGTCAATGATGTGGTCCAAAGGAAAGCAGAGCAATACGTTTGGCACCAGCTTGGCCGCCAGAGTTGCTGGAAGGAGATGTACAAAGAACTATCCTATCGTCTTTGGGACTCCACTCCAGATTTGTGTAGGGTTTACTCCTTAGCCTTTACTTTTCCCGAATATGTCCCACAAGGCAGCAAGTACAGATTGTTCCCTAGGGTTTACTGCTGAAGCCTTTCTCACCAATGAGTATAGCTGCAAGACCGCAGAGGTTTAGCACCAGAGCTTTCCTTCTCTTAGATGGGCTACCTTCCCAGACTGATGAAACAGGGTGGTAACAGAAAGACTCATGAACAGTGCATGTCATATGTTCTTCTATGGCTTTCTTGACCCAATCACTGGAATTCATATAGCCCTAAAGTTAGTCCGTGTATCTTTAGGACTTCTCTAATGTTATGTCATGAAGGTACTGTGCCGTCTGGGAAGTGATGCATGCCACTCATTTGTGTTTGAGGCTGAGGTGGTGGTTGAATTTTATTAGGCCATTCTTCTTTTTCTGTAATATTTCAACAGGGATAAACTTGCCTTATTTATTTTCAAATCAAAGTCAGCAGATTATTAGGACTTCTGTCCTCCTCATGCTGTACCACATTTTACAATTATTTGTCTTTCCTTGATGATTTTTTTTTAAAAAAATTGGAGCATAATTAAAGGCCATGATTTAGATGCAGTTAAGCTCACGGATTTAATTTTTAGTTTTCCTATTTTATCTGTAAGCCAGCTTCTTCTTGTTGTTTTTCTTGATGGTGATGGTGATGATGATGATGATGATGATGATACTAATACTAATCATCATCATCATCATCATCATCATCATCATATTAGCTTTCACACATATCTAACTTGGTGTTGGATCGTCACCAAAGTTCTATGTGTTTGTTTTTAACCTTTTGCAGGGTTAATACTTGTTACAGTAATGTCACACTAGCACTTAACTCATAATTGGTGTGCTTTATTGTCCAACATAGAATCTACTTCTAAGTAAACAATAAAAAGGCAATAAGTTCTTCTTTATCTGTTATCCATAAGCTGCCTTGAGTCCCTATCAGGGAGAAAGGTGGGGTATAAATAAACATGGAAGAAGACAACGACATTTTTTTTTTAAGCATAGTTGTACACTATAAACAAACCAAGCATGAACACAATTTTGGGTGACTATCTCCGAGGTAGTAATCTTTATAATTAAATAGCTGACATGCTGTTGGTGCCAGCCTTGTGAATTCCACTGCATATGAGTATTAGGTTCCATATCAAGTCACTCTTCACTGTTTATCTTAGGCGAAAATTATGGAGCAGTCCCTGTGAATAAGTGTGTGATAAATACAGAGATTTTCAGTGTGTTTAGCAAGCCCTGGGTAATTACCTTACACTGACAGCTGTTTCAGATTGTCAGTCAGTTATATCTCTTGGCAGGTTTGTCACCCTTTTTAGGCCTTGCCCTTAGGGTGTATTCCATTGCTTCCCTATAGTGGTTTGAAATGAAGCCTAAACATTTTGATTTTTCTTTATTCACACACATGAGATAAAAATTAAAATTGTAAATATTTGTGCATTATGGAACTTCAATATACAAGAAAAGCAAGCGGGATGCAAGCGATCAGGAATCCTGTGCTTTTCTTGATACAATTAATATCCTATAACACCTTTATCCTCAGATTCCACCTTTGTGCTGCTTAATACTACAAACTGCAAGATGCTTTCAATCAGAATTTTTTGTTGCTCTTTCATTTATGTAAAAAGGTGGGGGTTTCTTAATTAAAATATTTATAACCCACTCTGTATCAAATGGATCTCAGGTTGGGCACAACAATACATTGAAAGCAATCATTCAATTATTGAAACGACAGCTGAACAACAAAGAACAATTTAAAAACACAGAGCAGAATTAACAATCCATAAATGCCTGAAAAAATAGTCAGGTGTTAACAATGAAAATCAAAACTGCTTCAGTATACTGGCTCTAGTTCTGAATGCATTTTGGCTTCAGACAAGCCTGTTTTGAATAGCTGCCTGTCAGCCTTCTGCTAAGTGGTTTAGTATCCCTATATATACTTCTAGGGTCAAGGTAAGTTGTATGCATTTATTGCCAAGTAGTTTTGTAGATGGGAAAGTTGTACTTCTTTAGCCACTTACCTCAAAATATCTCCACTGGAGTGCGGCAGTTCCAAAGTAAATGCTTATCTTTGTTCATAATCATTTTTTTAAAAAAGTCTCAGTCTCTCTCTCTCTCTCTCTCTCTCTCTCACACACACACACACACACACACACACTTTCCTCTGATGAAATGCAGAATAAAAAAGCCTCTGGAAAATCCACTCTCTGCAACAGGCAAAAAAACCCCTCCCTTTCCAACTTTGGAGTTGGAAGATAGAAGAAACCACATCACACTGAGCAGTTCAAGCGTGACACTTAACTATGATTTAGGCTGTGTTCACATTAGCAGTTTGAAACACTGTGAGGTCGTTTCCTCCCCACTGCATTTCCAAGTCGCTTTCTCCCACCGCTGTTCACATCAGAGAGGGGGGCAGGGATGTCTTGGCTCCGTGATTTGTTTCCCCATGTGGAACTCCCAAGTCAGTGAAGCTTTCACCCGCGCACGTGCAAAACCTGCCTGAATGGCTCGCACCACAATGGAAGTGACAGTTTCCATTTTCGAAGCTGGCTGGAGGTAAAAAGCTCATCAAAGAGGAGTATTTCTCTGAAAGCAACTGGATACCGATGGATTGTGCTAACGTCATGTGAACCCGGCTTTTAAAAAAAAGCAGTGGTGGGAGCCTGCCGAAGCCACAGTAAATGGTAGTGTGAACACACCCTTAATGTTGCACGCACAAACCTCAGGGCTTGCACACGCCCCTTTCCTGCGAGGAGATTGGAAGCAGTTACTTCTTGTGTCTAAACTGTCCATAACATGCCCTGGGTCCCCCACTGCCCCTGGTATGAGACAAACCTCTCCGGGCATTGTCCAGTGTTATGCTCCCCTGGGATGGATATCAATCTTCATCCCGGAGCGCTCAGTGATACAGGTCAGATGATCCTGTCCATGCTATTAATCAGCAGAATCTGCAGTGACGACTGAAAGAATGAATGTGAGCATTTTAAGATTTATTTTGCCATATTTGCAGGACAAATCATAATGGCACCTGCTCTCTTCAGCAGCAGACATAGAGAGAAAAACACAATGCAACAGCACAACATAACGGAAGAGAGAAGACGTAACTTCCGTCCTCAGACTTCCCCGGCTCAGGAAAGTAAACAGTGACGTGTGACTTTCCAGCCACATATCAGCAACGGAGGATTTGCTAACATAAACATGGACAAACTGTAATTGATCCTGGTTTCGGGAACAAAGCAAATTTCAAAATATAGTTTGCAATTTTGGCCTGTTTCCCTAAGGTAGGAGTGGCTAGCCTTTTTTGGTCAGCTGCCCCTCCAAGGGCAGCTTCCTACACTGGGCATGGTTAGTGCATAAGTGTATGTGCATGCGCACACAAACCACACATCCACCATATGCTTACTATACATGCACAGTTGCGTTTATACTACACATATGCCAGACATTCGGGCACACAGTGCTCTCTCGCTCTCTTTCTCACATACACACACATGCATGCATGTGGTCTCACATACGCACAATCAGCGCCTGGGTGAGGTATCTGGAAACAGTGCCTTGTCTTTATGAAAGAGCAGGCAGAGGGCTTTATCTTTGATCTCAGGGCTGTGGGGTTTAGAGCCAAGATCTATTTGCTTGCTCTCAACTGAGAAATAGAGCTTGGTGGGCCAGATGCATCCCCTGAGCGGCAGATTAGACATCCCCACCCTAAACCATAATAACAAAGGAGCTGTGCTCTAATGGCATTGTTAGTAAGTAGTTAAGTGCACTTGAACATTTTTTAAAAATTTTCTTCTAAATGTTCCATTAAAAATCTTTTATTTTCTTGAATGTGTGCGCATCAATATATATTGAGCCAGCGCTTAGACGCTTGCCTCGTTTTCCTCCCTTCTGTGGCCAACTTATTGATTTGTCTCCAGCAGTCCCTCTCTCGCATCTGTTTATCATGAGCACTCCTGTTTCTTACCCAATCTTGCTCAGCTGCCCAAATAATTTTCCATTTTGTGGGCCCACAAGACTCTCGCACCATGCAGTTGTACAGATAAATGTCTCATGTGAAAACCAGAGGTGATGGTGTTTAACCTTAGGTAAATGGCTAATTATTATGTTAAAAGTGGAACAGTGCCAGTTGGAGAAGAAGGCTTTTGTTTTCACCAGGGCTGAAGAAGACCAAACAGAAACTCATGCCTGTGTTAGTTGTTGGCAAATGATCAGGTAGATAATCAAGTGTTAGCATGCATCTGGGGTTCTCAAACTCCTTGATCTCATGCATACAAGTAATAGTTTCTCAATGAGGGCAGCCAGTCTCCACCAAGGTTTCCTTTTTCTGTGCATGTGCAGTGAGTATGTGCTCATTGCTTAGTCACCAGCAGCACAAAGCAAATCACATAGTTTGGGGACATGTGGAGAATACTAGCTGAAATGAGATTCTTGGCAATGCACCTAATATATTAAAACAACAACCATCATTCTAGGTTAGTTTGCTGAAATCTTATTATAAATTGTCTGTGCTGCACAATGTAAATGTTTGGTTGTTTGGGGTTTTTTTGTTTTTTTTAGAGGATCCTATTACATGAGGGATTTAATTTAGAATGGAAATAATAGCTTACCTTGAGAAAATACAAGGATTTTTAGATGTAGGCCCTTAGGCAAATGGTATTCACCAGGTAAGATATCTCTCTCAAACTGCTGTTTTGCGTTGTTAAACTAGGTAGCATTTAAAAATCTCTTTCAATGCTCTAGAGTATTCTCAACAGCCTATTTACACTGTTTCTGTATTGTTTCTCTTTCTTTTGCAGATGTCCTTCACGGAACACTGGGTTTTCCCATGAGCCGGTATTTAAAGGAAGAGGGCTGGTTCTGTGGTCGCAATGCCAGAATGGCAGCCTGTTTGGTACAGTTTCTTTCCCCACCCCCCAAAATGTATCTACATGTGATGGAATTTGTTGTGCTTTGCTTGCAGACCTGGATTTGTCTCTTAAATATCAGGCAGTGCAGAATAACACCATTAGTGGTGTATTCATGGTCAGTTAGTGGGCCCATATGAAAATTTGGGCACAGCTTGGTTTCTTTGAGCTCAGATGAGATGTGGCACAGAGCAGAAGGTCCTGACAATTGTCTAAAGGGCAGAAATCCATGGCAACCCCATTGCTGATTTCACTAGCCTTTGTTGGATATCACAACTAAGTGTAGCAAAAATGACTGCCTGGCTACAAAGTCAGAGTAGACTCTCAATCCCTTTTTAACAAGATAGCTTTACATGCAATGTTTCTTCAGTTCAAATGCGCCGTCTCATGACATGGTGAGATGGCATAACATGCATTTGGATTTCTAGGGACATTTATCTTGGATGACCACTGTGTTGTGTCTTCAATCACCCCACCATCTCCTCCTTTCTTAACCTACTAAAATTTCAATTTACGTGCTTTTGATATTCTCACAGATGCTAGCTGTGAATTAAACTGGGTTAGCAGAGTATGCCATGTGCTAAGCAGGTCTGAATATTAGAACTGCCCCCTGCTTCTGGCTGCAGTGCTAGTCCAATCCCAAGCAACATAACTTTACTTTGAACCAAATGTGCATTTGATCCTTGTGTGATCTTCTTATGAACCTCAGTCTTTGTCCCTTTTGACTTGCTAAGCCTCTGTCTCAGTTTGCATAATCCCTTTAAACATATTCAGACAGATTTAGCTTCCCCTGCATCTTAGCCTGCTTTTCTTCCACAGGCTGAGGATGGTCTGCATCCCTTTTCTCCTCCTATCACTTTGCCCCACATTCTCCTCCCCCACCTTGCTATTTATCTTATTTACTGGGTGCCTAATCAGGGAAGCTATGTTTACTTCTGTTTTTCCTGTGCGCAATGGAAAAAAAATACGACCACCATGTGTAATCAGCATGGCTGTTTTGCTTAGGCCTCTTCCTACTTGTGAATGTAGCACTAAACCATGGTTTATCATTATGTGTAAACCAGCCCTTTGCATTTAAAGTTTTTATTCAGTGTACGTGTTAATAGAAGGGATATTTCGAAATTTTTTGTAGAATTGAATTTGTATCCCAACAGTTCTTTAAAGTCTTCTCCATTTCCATTTCATAGTTTTCAGGCATACCTGATAATCCATTACCATTTTAGGTGCATTGTAGACTAAAATGAAGTGCTCATCGAATTCAGTTTTTTAATTAAAAATGTACAGCCAAGTATCATCTCAGATATTTGCAGAAATATATACGTTTCATTGTAATTGTGAATCCTGTGATTACATTCTTAAATAACATGTGATGGATGCGAGCACACACATTTTTGTCATATATTCTGTTATTCCCCCACCCCTTTAATGAAGTATGTTTATGATATGTTCAGATTGAAGAATAAACACATCAGTATTTTCTTCTTTTTCTCTCTGAAGGCTCTGGAACGAGTTGCAGTTGGCCAAGTGGTGAGTAATGTTGTGTATTTAACCCTTCCGATGACAAAGCTGTTTTCTCACTTTGAATACTTTGAATACATGACCTTGTGCTGAACTTCTCGTTTGCTGGAATTGGAGAGTTAGCAAACAGCAAAGCTTGAATTGGAGGCAGATTGATATTCTGCATCAGCACCATGAAATTGCACTTTTATTGCCTGGTCTTCATGGAGCAATGATAAAACATAATTTTCTCCAGTTAATTAAGAGTGATTTAAATAGCAAGAGCATACATTAAAAGTACTCTGAATGTCTTGCATTTCATTCCTCTATCAGCCTCTTTCATTGTAGTAGCCTCATTTGAAGTCCGGAGACTACTGAATAACCGGGTTGAGGATTACAGTCTCATTGTAAACTGGTTTCTTTTCTGCCTCATGCAAATTTAAAATAAAATCTCTTTTTCCAAGTCCAGAGGTGTATCCATGGAAAATATGAAGTTAAATTGATCCTTTGACAAGCAAGAGTTATTTCTTATCCAACAAAAGCTTTTGACCTAATTGCAACCCGTTCTGCATTCAGTCCTCTCTTTCCAAAAGTTCATTTGGATTTGAATTGCATCTGATGATACCCTTTATGAGCTTCTTCCCTCTGCGTCAGTCTTGTCCCTGCTTGCTCATTGTTGCCGGCTGTGGAGCTCTTCCCAAGTAAAGCCTTATGTTTTGTGGAACTGTGACTTAATCTTCATCTACTTAAAAACACGGCATGCTTTCTTAAAGAACACATGGTAAGACAGGACAGGCCAAAAACACTTTTAAGATTTACAGATGGCTGAAAGTGCAGTCTCCGTGGAACACATTTTGTGACTCACATTTCATTATTGCGATGCGACTTATTATGGAATAGGTGTCAGTTGAGGTTGGTTTACACTGCCAGATTCTTCTATTTGAAGAAGAAGAAGAAGAAGAAGAAGAAGAAGAAGAAGAGGAGGAGGAGTTTGGATTTGATATCCCGCCTTTCACTCCCCTTCAGGAGTCTCAAAGCGGCTAACATTCTCCTTTCCCTTCCTGCCCCACAACAAACACTCTGTGAGGTGAGTGGGGCTGAGAGACTTCAAAGAAGTGTGACTGGCCCAAGGTCACGCAGCATCTGCATGTGGAGGAGCGGAGACGTGAACCCGGTTCCCCAGATTACGAGACTACCGCTCTTAACCACTACACCACACTGGCTCTCTATTTGCTTATATATTTGACCGTTTGGAAGTAGTAAACACAATACAGCTTGAACTCCTGGCTGCTAACTCTGATTACAGCTGCTTGGAAAAGTCCCCTATCCATCATCATTACCACCTCTGCAACCTTTTGCCATGTGGCTATGTATTCTTTATTGTTATCATTTATTACATACGTATCTTGCCTTCTCTCAAGGTGGTAGACAATAATACAAATGCAATAAAACAGCAATAGCATACAAGTACATATAGAGAGAGTAAGTTAAACATCAATAAAAGCAACCAGTGAAAACCCACTACAGCATATTTACATATCAATTTATGGGCCAAATGTCTGTCTAAATAAAAATGTCTTTGCTGCCGGCAGAAGGTCATCAGAGACTGAGCTCGCCAGGCCTCTCTTGATAAAGAGTTCCAGAGCCGGGGAGCAGCCAAATGTGCTTTCGATGCTGGCAGGCTAGAAAGAAAGGCCTTTCTCGAGGATCTTAAAACCTGGGTGGGCTTGTATGGGAGATGATGCCTTTCAGATAACCTGGTCCCAAGTCATATAAGGCTTTGAAGCTCATAACCAGCACTTTGAACTGTGCCCAGAAAACACGTGCTTGTGTACATTTGTGGGGGGAAATTTGGCAATTTAAGCTGGCTCATTGCGTTTACGGAACAATGGAGACCTGCTTAGTGAAGAAATTCTATTTAGCTGGGCATCTCACAGTGTTCTTTTCTTTCAGAATCTTGCACCAGTATCTTTTCTAGTAATGTAGTCAGCGTTCATAAACCTTTTTTTAAAGAGACTATCATGCCTTTCCACTTTCAGTTTTTACAGTTGGGTAGCTGCCTTAATTTTCTTACAATGTATTGCTGCAAGTCCAGATTCTTCCGTAAGAATTATATATTACTGAAATCTTAGTTTATGGGCAAATATTAGAGTAACATAAAGCCAGATTATACATCATGCAATTAATTTTCTGACATTTAACTAGAAACACAGCGGTCAGATTGAAATGGCTTCGTAACGTGGGCCAGTGAACCATCAATGAATTTTCTCTTCAATATTAGTTATATACAACTGGAGATATAAACATGGGAAAGTATTGGGAGGATTTGCTTTGATTTATTACAAATTCTTGGTTCTGGCAAGGCACTCAATATTCTTTGTTTTCAAATCTCCATCTAAATTCCTTTTGTGGATACTTTAAATCATTACAGCACCATTTATCATCCCTTTTGGTATATGTACACAAGCCGCATGACTGTTCAGCACACCAGATTTACAGACCAGTGTGTCCCTGCTGCAAAGCCGTTAGCCCAGTGGAGTTTACACAGGGGATAAATTTGGCCGTGCATTTTAAAGAGGTGCAAGTATTGCCTCTTCTTATGTAAACACATAGTTCATTCTTAAAGGTATGAAGCTCTTCAACACATTGCACTGTTTGTAGAAGCACAGGAGTTTCTGTGTGTATCGGGGAAAGAAGATGAAGTTGTTAGGGGGTAGAAAGCGCATTGAAAACTTGCGAAATGTTTTCCCTCTGACTTTAGAGAACCAGATTAATCCTAAATGGGTACATTTCTGCAGTAAAACCAACATAACAAATAGCATAATTTGGCCTGTGGGGCTTACTGTTTTCCTCTAGCCTGCTCCTCAGCCCCATTCAGTGCTTGCTGTTTCCTGTGTTTATTTTTTCCAACAATTATGGTTACATCGTTACATTTCTAAAGAACAACACTTTAACTTGGGAACAAGAGAGACATACTAGTAACACTAGGTGGAATGAACAAAAACCAGTAATTAGTTGAAGACAGCCCACTGTTTTCGTTGTTCTAGTTGCGGTGTCTGCTTCCAACTTAATACCCTGCTGTTCTTTGATTCCTTGCAGCTGCCTACAGAATCCTTGTTTTATCGAGCTGTCCTGCAGGTTATTGTAGAAGAATTTTATGGAGTCAAAAGAAGGTAGTATGCTATAATTTCATATCGTTAAGGAAGAACAACTTTTGCCTCCTTTTTTTACTCGCGGTGGTGGCGAAACCTGAGAAGAATGCATGTATTGAAAGATCAGCAACTCTTTCATAGGTAGCTGACAGTATCTCTTTGACTGTGGGTCTGTAAATCTGAATAAAGGTAAAGGGACCCCTTAACATTAGGTCCAGTCGCGGATGACTTGGGGGTTGCGGCGCTCATCTCGCTTTACTGGCCAAGGGAGCTGATGTACAACTTCCGGGTCATGTGGCCAGCATGACTAAGCCGCTTCTGGCGAACCAGAGCAGCGTACGGAAACGCCGTTTACCTTCCTGCCGGAGCGGTACCTATTTATCTACTTGCACTGCGTGCTTTTGAACTGCTAGGTTCGCAGGAGCTGGGACTGAACAACGGGAGCTCACCCCGTCGTGGGGCTTCGAACTGCCGACCTTCTGATTGGCAAGCCCTAGGCTCTGTGTTTTAACCCACAGTGCCACCCACGCTGAATAGGACTCCGCAAAGTTCTACTGCGAGCAAGTTGAACCTGTAAATTCTTTATGTTTTATTAAGTTGATCGTTCAGAAGGAACTGGTGAATTATGTGGTGTCTTGATTTTTAACAAAGCTTGGCAAATGTAGCCAAATTATTCTTGAAAATGGTTTATGTAACCGTGCTTGAAAAGCAGCTGAAGTCAAACAAAAGAGTGAATAATCATGCCTACCTTGAGCCATTATTAATCATTCATATAGCATTTCAACTGTAGTAAATGCTTAATATTTACTGTTCAGCTTTAAGGCAAGTCATTATCATTACGAAGTGTTGAGAGAATGTGACTTCCCCAAGACTTTTCCTCGTTGACATAGGCATCAAACATAGGTCTTCACTTCTGCCTGTTGATTCAAACATTTCTTGCTGGAGATACTCTGTTTCAAGCTATCCACCCCCCTACCTGTGCACCTTATATATTGTCTACATCAGTGTTCTTCAACCTTGGGTCATCAGATCTTGTTGGACTACAATTTATATCTCTGACCACTGACTAAGCTGGATGGGGATGATGGGCCTTGTAGTCCAAGAACATCTGGTGAACCCAAGGTTGAAGGAACACTGGTCTACATGATACAACTATGGGCTATATAATACAGTTGTACCTTGGATCCCAAATGCCTTGCAGGTCAAACGTTTTGGCTCCCGAATGCCCCAAACTCAGAAGTGAGTGTTCCGGTTTGTGAACGTTCTTTGGAACCTTAACGTCCAATGCAGTTTCTGCATCTTTCGATTGACTGCAGGAGCTTCCTGTAGCCAATCGGAAGCCACACCTTGGTTTTGGAAGTCAAACAGACTTCTGGAACAGATTCCATTCAACTTCCAAGGTACCACTGTATTTGTATAGTCGCTTAGTCGTGTCCGACTCTTCGTGACCCCATGGACCAGAGCACGCCAGGCACTCCTGTATAGGGCTGTATAATATCTTCTTTCTTTAACATGCAAGAATAAGTATTTTAGTTAATACAAATGCATTTGGAATCATAGCTCAGTTGGTAGAACACAAGACACTGAATCTCAGGGTTGTGGGTTCAAGCCCTATATTGGGCAAAATATCCCTGCATGGCAGGGGGTTGGAGTGGATGACCCTTGTGGTCCCTTCCAGCTCTACAAATCTATTATCTATGATCTACTGGCATCCCCAGTCTTCTTTGATCTATGATCTGTATTCCCAATGAAGTTGAAAAGGAAACTTGAATAAATATAAAACAATATTTTATGTATTTTATTATTTTGATAGGACATTCATGCTTTATGTTAATGCTCTCTGTGGAATGACAATATATAGCCTTCTAATGCATCAAGAACAAAAATATGTCCTATTTATCATTTCAGTGATCGTAATATTGGGAAAGTATATTCTAAATCATCTTCCTTCTTGGATTATGCTCGAAAAGCTTTTAAAAAGCTTGAACTTGATGAGTCAGAGGTAAGTAGCTGATTACTCAATACATGCAATTCACCTCCATAGACGACAGTTTATTTCAGTGGGTTGTTTGCTAGTGGAAGTTCTGCTGCTGAAATCTGAAACCTTACGTTGTCTTGACAGTTGCTGAGATGCATATCTACTGTAGATTTGTCTTAAGTTACACATACTTATCAGTTCCAACTTATTGCAAGTGGAAGATTTGGAAGATTTTATTCCACTCTTCCAATTTAATTTACTGTAATTAATAAAAAGCAAAAAGTTACAAATCATTGATGGTGGACTAGCAGGAATTGCAGATGCCGAGAGCATTTATTATTACTACTACTACTATTATTATTATTATTATTATTATTATTATTATTATCTACCCCGCCCACCATCTGGCTCAGTTTCCCCAGCCACTCTGGGCAGCTTTCAACAGAACATTTAAAACAGGATAAAACTTCAAACATTTAAAAACTTCCCTAAACAGGGAAGGATTCCTTCTCCCTCTTCGGACACAACATCCTCACTGTAAATATTAAATAGTGCTAAAGAGAATTATTTGAATTTTTTTCTGAAATAGGGCCTTGCGTAATATACTAAGGGATTTTTTCTGTATGTGTAATAAATAATATATATATGAATTGATGCATATGGTAGAAATTCCGTTTATGTCTCTATTCCCAGGGACATGGAGACTGCAGTCCTGTGCACGCTTTCTAGTGAATAAGTCCCATTGAAATAAATGGGGTAGTGTCCGAATGAACATGTGTTGGATTGCACAGCACATGTTCAATAGATATGCTTTGAGTAGGGTTTTTTTTTTTGAAAATATATATCACTAAATTAGCAATATTGGTTTTGTCAGTAAAATTTGATGTTCTCCAGAACATTTTATTTCTGAGAAGTTTTTTTCTCCCCACATATGCAGGAAGACTCACAGATTATTCTGTTTACTGAATTGCATTTTCAGTTTCTTGCCCTTTTTTGACATCATCTGGAACTTATTGCTACATTTATTGGATATAATGTGTGTTTGTTATTTCTGGTGTTTTCTTTTTAACAAGCTTATATTTCTAAAGAAAACCTGCAAGAGCCATTGTTCTAATGTGTTGACATTGGTTTTACTTCAGGCAGAAATCAAGTGCCTGTGATCTAAAGATCTCTTCAGACGAAGCAATTTGGATTGAAGCCCATTTAATTTCAATAGAGGAAGTTACTTTAAAAATTGAGAATTAGTTAAAAAAGAAACTTAACACACCCAACTATGAGGTTATTAGAAAAATGCCATAAGCAAGGCTCAAATGGATCCTGGGTCACATATTACAAACTGTACAGCATTTCCCAGGATATGTGAACATGGTTACATAGCAAATTAACAGAAAGTAACCTTTGGAAAAAAAGTGGATAAGATTAGTACCTAGTGATTTGCTACTTTTACATTTCTCAGTAAGTACTGGAATGCCATATCTTGTCACCACTATTTTCTTCTGTTCTTCAGCCTCTCTTTTTGACACGGATACCTATCTTACATTTTCTGTAGAAAAGACAGGTGCAAAGAATTAATTCAGTTTCTGTGTAGCCTCTTACCCCCCGCCCCCTTTAACACACCTTATCATTCAACAGTCCAAGTTCCTCCTTATCCTGTTTCTCTCTTCTCCTTTAGCTCAAACAGGAGTGCAGGCGCTGTCTTAAACCCTTTCCTAAAGCCTCTTTGAAGTAGCTCTCACACGTGAGCTGCTTCAAGTAACACTTTTGCACATGGCTTTAATACCCACTCAGCTGATGTGCAGGGATTAAATCCTGCTGCCTTGGCTGTGCAATCTTGTTCCCTGCTGGGAATAGGGCAGCACAGCCAAGGCAGAATTATACCTTGTCCTCCCTCCCACCAGCTGATTATCACCAGTGACTATGGCTGATGGGCATGGTTTGGAGAAAGTGGCCTCACAGACCACATCGGAGCCTCTGGCAAGGTTAGTCTTTGTTCTATGCTCTCCTTTAAGGTCAAACACTTCGGCTCAGTTATCTTGGTTCAGAGACTGTAGTTTTAGCATACAAACACATCCACTCTGAGTATAATCCCACCTGGAGGTGCCAGGGGATTGAAACCGGGACCTATTACATGAACCTTCTACCCCTGGGACCTTCTACTCCTGGGTTGTGACTCTTCCCAAAGGCCCAACATTATGGTTCTCTCCATGGGCTCTCTCCCATTAGGGAAGCCATGTTGTACTGTACGCTCATTTCCCAGTTCTACCTCGTCCCTTTTTGGGTGATCAGAAATATTTTCACCCTCATTCGCTCGAGATAATTTGTCCAGATGAACTGCATGCTTTCCAAATTCGAACAGCTGCACCCCAAGGGTTAATTTTAAAAGCTGCTCTGCAACCTTTTTGATGTTAAGTACCATCAGTGCCAACCTAGCAGTTCAAAAGCACAGCAAAGTGCAAGTAGATAAATAGGTACCACTCCGGCGGGAAGGTAGACGGCGTTTCTGTGTGCTGCTCTGGTTTCGCCAGAAGCGGCTTAGTCATGCTGGCCACATGACCCGGAGAAACTGTCTGCGGAAGCGGACAAACGCCGGCTCCCTCGGCCTGTAAAGCGAGATGAGCTCCGCAACCCCTGAGTCATTTGCGAATGGACTTAATTGCCAGGGGTCCCTGGTTCTGCTCTGGTTTGAGGAGAGCTTATCACTATTTGAAGAGCTGACTTGTCACAAAACACTCCCCAGGGACTAAGAAATCCACATCCCTTATCTGCGCACCTCTGTATAAACCACGCATGAGACCTCTCAACTCAGCCTACCTAGCTGGCCCGCTTGTGAAACAGGAAGCATCTCACCAAAAGCTGGCTTGCGGGTCCTGGTTTTCAGCTTCCTATGCAGAAAACTACGTTTTGTTTCCAGGAATTTCACCACTGTGGCTTACTCATCCTACCAGCCTGTCCAGTCAAAGCATTGGCAACCTTCACACTAGGCAGGCTAGTTAGCATGCTGCCCAGACACCTGTCAAACATCTCTTTGTGCTTCTAAGGAGTGAATCATGCACTACTAAGACACACACACACACACCCTGGAGGTGTGTCCTCAATGTGAGAGGATATCAGTTAGTCCCCCAAGGAATGAGTCAGCCTTAAGGCATCACTTTCTTTTTCTTGGAGTGACACCCTCTTTCCTTGAGAACCTCATTCTTCATGACAGCAAAGGAGCTGTCAAGTGAGCCACAGAAGCTCTTGGGACATTAAACTACAATGCTGAGCATGCAAGCAAGGCAAGGAACGTGGGGGAATTGCCCTTCTCCCATTATCTCCTTGCTTGGAGAAGTAGCAGGTGCCTTCATTAGGCACATTGTGTTGATCTAGTTGTTCTTCCAAAGCAGAGGTTTTACTTCAGTGTCAAGGAATTTGTTCATGTATCCAGAACTGATGAACCAGAAAGAAGCTTTGTAGATTTGATAGGAGCCATTTGTTTTGGTGAGATATCTCTTTGGTACATGCAATTTCAGTCTTCTGCATTATTTATTCAGGAGTCTCACCAAGTTCAGTGGAACCTATTCTCAAGTAAACGTACCACCTTAGTGTGTGGGTGTGTTTAGTTTCGAAGCTGTTGAGGGGTTTGGTTTGCCATTCCTTATTATTGAGTTATAATGCAAATAGGTCATCCGAATCTTAAATTGTAACGAGCATTTCAGCAAGAACATTTACCAGTCAATTGTGGAAAGGAAGATATAGTCCTGCTGTCAAAACGGGATTATGAAAGGTTGCTGTTAAAACTGTATAAAGCACATATATTAATGCAGTATTTCAAGGATGGCTGTCGTTTAAATATAAACCAACATGTAATCTGTGTACTGCTGGTGCCAAATTCCAGTTTAATCTGATAAGGAGTTTTAACAGCTGTAGTATTTACAAGAATCAGCTGGCATATCACTTTAAAATATGCAAATCGAAAATCTCCAGCACCAACAAGGTGTTGGAGAAGAAGGAACCAGTCTGTGGCAGATAAGCATTAAGAACTGAATATATGACATTTCATTTGAGGCATTCCACTGCTGTCATAGTGAGCTGATCTCTCCTTTTATGTGAGCATTTGCGTGGCAGGATACAAGGTAATTTTTAGTTTGTACCTCCTGTTTTCATTCTAAAGATGCTGTAATTTAGGGATCGGTATAGAATAGTCTTCTTTTGACTCATTTAGATCTCTTCATATCTCCTTCACTTGTAGGGCATGAGAAGCTTTCTTGGATTTCCTTTGAGTCAGTTCAGACATAAGCAAATTGTGGTTTGGCCATCAATAATAGCATTCGAATTGCTGCACTTCTTTTCTCCATCCCTGGTTTAAACAGATGTCTCAATTAGGCAGCATGGATTGTGAAAACCATGGTTTGTTTCAACATCAGCATTGAAAGCCCAGATTAGAGTTTTGGTTTGGGGACAAAATAGTTTTTGCAAACTAGGAGGGGAGGCAGAAAAAGGAAGGCATAAATCTCTAGCCAATTCATAACAGCCAAGCATACTTTAGCTGCTACATCTTAGTATACATCAGTCTTCTGGGTTCAGTCCCTGCCCACTTTTTACTTTAACTTCCCTTATGATGAAATACATTTCTGCACTTAAAACGAGATTTTAAATTGGGCCACAAATACAGTAACTTCATGCACCTTCACCCCCTTTCTCCAAGGCCTTCATGGGCAGCTTATCTTCTCCCACACCCCCTGAAAATATGCTCTAGAGACACTTTGGACCTTCCAAAGTGTGTGAGAAGTGAAATAAGATCGGCAGGGGGAAGGGGGAATTGGGAAAAAATGGCCTACACACACTTCTGCCTGCAGAAACTTCTGCCAGATCCAAGCCCCTTCCACAAAGCGCTACTTACATTCATAGAAGTGCACTCTTGGCTTGAACTCAGAGTTCTCAACCTTGTTCCAAGCTTTTAATCTTCCTCTTGTGGAATAACATAATTCAATAAAAGCAAGTTTTGAATCAGTTTATTTGATTTGTTTGCAATAGAAGATGCCTGAGAAGTTTAACAATGGGCTACAACCTATGCATTCCCTTTTACCCGTAATGTTGCTAAAATTTATAGAAGCTGCTCTCAGTGGTATTTATCCTTGCCCTTCTCCTCCATTCATTCTCTTACATACAGAAGCTATATTCTCTGACGTACCTAAGCTGTTTGTTTTCCAAGTTTTTGTTGGTGGCTTGTAGCATATTTGGGCTGAAACCATACATGCAATTATGGACATGGTTGGAACCAGAATGTGAATGCAGGCCACCGGCTGTGGAATCTGAGGACCAAGTCTTGGACTACCTCCCCTGTATAGTTGCTGTTTGTGTGGTTGCACCACACACTGCTCTGATAATATTTAAAATACAGAGACCAAGTAGAAAAGAAGGATGATGTGCTTACTCCCTATGGTTGCATAGCACAAAGGGCATCCATATGATGCACCCATGCCAGATGATTTTCCTGTTTCAAAGTATTTTAGCTACTTTGAAACATTCTAGAATGTTTCCTCTTTTACCAAAATGCCCTACGTTTCAAGGAGCCTAACCTTGTGTTTAAGAGATTCAGTATTTCATATTCTGATGCCTGTTTTAAGAATGCTTCCCCAAATGTAGAATGACTACCCCATATTGTATGCAAAGGATCTAGGAACATTGTCTTCACTTCCAGCAGAGAGCACCAGCCTTACAATGCAATACCAAACATGTTAACTCTAAATTTATGTTCCACTTAATTCAACAGGTCTTTCTTTCTAGTATAAATGTGCTTAGGGTGGCATGCGTAGAGTGATTTTATCCCCCCCTTAAAAAAAAAAAGTATAATTTCGCTGTAGAGCAATAACGCAGGTAAGAGACATAAACAATTTCGGGAGTGAAAAATTAGTCCTGCAAAGTCATTATAGTAAGTTGGAAAATTATTGATTGTAAAATGAAATTTCTGTTGGGTTTCAAGTATTTTTAATTAGAGAAAATAATTTTAGTATCTGCCTCAGGTAGGTTTTAATTGCCATCATCAATTTTCCTGTTATTGCAGATTTCAGACAGCCTCATAATGGAGTACTTTGAAAAATACAAGCACAGAATGAATGAGCTGGAAGCTTTTAATATGGTAAAATCACAGTTTCGGAAAAGTTGTTTTGTATGTTTATGTTAGGCCACAGTTGGGTTGTGTTAAACTTTTACGATGGGGTGGATCAGTTTATATTGTGATATACTCTCTACAGGAAGAAAAAACCAACCCTTAACTGGGAGCATATTCTCTTCCAAAATTATATTAGGTGTCAGTAGAATAATGAGAACATATGGAAATTCTTTTTCAAGTATAATAAATGTAAAATAAAAAAAGTTAGGCTCCTTTTGAACCCATATTGGTCTCTGTTCGTTCCTTTTAATACATTTCATTGTTGGTTCCCTTTTAACAAGATTTCTGCCACTTGCAATGTGCTTTGCATGCTGAGTTATACCTCAAAGCTACTTAATAATAGATGCCATGCCTATTGCATTTCACAGACTTTGATCTTTATTGCACTGATTTTCTGAAGATGTCCAATAGGGTAGACTTGGCAAGGTTGCACTTGTACTGTTTCTTTGGCAGTGCCCACCTTCCTTAACTGTTTTGATGGGAAAGAGTTGAAGAGTCTGGCAGTACATGATCAATGCCAAGGGCCATTTTGGTAACCTATCATGAGAAAAAAGATTGTAGCTAATTATATATATGTAACTAACATAATTTGTATAACAAATTACTGAATGACTAACCCCCTGTCATGGACAAATTCTGTCTTACCAAATGTACCTCCTTGTCAGCCTGAGTGAAAAACTACTGGCCCAGTACCTTTGAAGTTCATAATTAAGCCCTGTAAAATAATGAGATGAAATATATAATAATTTCATGAAATGTAGCACCAAACAACAAAACAACATGGAAACTGTATTGGAGGGACATTACTTGTTTGCGGTAATGGAATTATATTTCTCTTCTGTGGCTAAACTGGTGGCTACATGTTTCTTTCAGTTGAAAGTTGTTCTGGGACCCTGTATTGAGGTGCTGATTCTTCTAGATCGTCTCTGCTACCTCAAAGAACAGGTAATTCTTAGCAACGTGACACAGCAGAATAATACTTTTTTGTATTAACAACAGCAGCATGCATGATTTTCACAGATTTGGAAAAGTTTTAAGTGTCCAATCCATCACTCCCAATGTTGTGCCGCAGATGTTTTTACTTTGGGAAATCGGTTGCAGTAAAGTTTTTATGTTCTTTTAATTGCATAGTAAATTACCAGTAATAAAGAAACAACATTGCCTAAACAGATATTTTGACTGTTAGTAGTTGAAGTGCTCAAACCATTTTGACTTTGCATATCCTGCTGTTTTCTGCATGATCTTAATATTAAGGTAACACCTTTATTTAATATGCAGCCAGTTGCTGTTTCCAACGGGTATGTCTTTGTGATGCATGGTACGCCCAGCAACATGGTTCATCCCTAGCTGTTCAAGTAACATGTTAACTGATCCAGAATCAAGTTATCATTGATATGGACTACCAGCAATTTCAATGACTGTCTGTAGCAGTGTTGTTTGGTTCATGGAAATTTTTCTGTCCATAAACACTTCACATTTTGCTATCTAAGAAAGCCAGAGTCTGTACCCTTGGACAAAAACGTCCTCTAATCAGCTGTAATCTTGGTAAAGGATATGTTTTAAGCTTACTACTTGCAGACCATTTCACATATTCATCCGCTCTCATGCAAGCACTGGAATCACCACACTCACATGATCTCACTTGCGTACTACTCCAGAGATTGCCAAATGTATGAAATGGACCGTTGTGTCAGTACTAGAAATAAAGGGGGTGATTTTCATCATCTTGGGAATGAGAAATCACTTCTTCTTAGAAAGGCTGGTGGTGAACAAGCTGTGCTTAAATTTGTACATAGTGATTTAAGTAGGAGAGTAGTCTTATGTTTTTTCCATCCTTTCACCCAAGGAGCAGACTGCATGCATGTGAGTGGGGCTGGCTCTGATAACGTGCAGTGAAATTTCTGCAGAATATCTGACCTTTCGCAAATAATGAACCATTGAATCTATACCTAACTTTTCTTCTTCTTTGCTTTTCCAAGCACATCCATGAGCTGCTCTGCTTTTCCTCCACAATTTAAGTCCTTTAGAGAATCACAGAATCATAGAGAAGATTTATCCTAAGGGAGTTTTATTTTGTCTGCAGTGCAGCACTCGAACAATTGATTTATAATAAATGTGTGCTTTTGTTCTTACCGGTTATTTTTAGAGGAACTGTTGAAATATTTAAATAACGATGTAACTTTTTCCCTTTTTTTTCTTTTTACAAATGCCAGCTAGTTTTAAATTATGAAAGCTTCAGTTCCATGAGCCCCCCCCCCAGCAGGTGCACATAAAACAGCACTTCTTCCCCTGGATTTCAAAAACCAAAATATGGATTTCATAAGCACTGCACAAGTGGGGCTGGAAGTCAGAAACTTCACATGATGTGAGGTTATTACTTCATAGACCTCTAGTGATCTACACAGTAGTATTCTGAATTCACAAGAAAAAAGGGAAATCAGTTCAGTAGCATTCATCACTGACTTAACTTTGCTAAATTTACTGTTGAATGAGATTTATGTCCATGCGGCTAGCATATCTAGCATTGCTTTTCTGTGCCGTTCTGCTAGTGTTAGTTATTATTGTACTTATGCCAGTGGTAGCACAAGAGATTTTGGTGCCTGAGGCTGCAAAGCCAAATGATGCCTCCTGAGCATAATACATATAAAAAATAAAACAAATAATTGACAAATGTGCTGCCCTTTAAGGATACCTCCCCAATCTGCCTTTGGCCAGCCCTGCCATATAGCTGACATAGCAAAAGTTGGTATAAGATATTTTGACTTTGTGTCGGAAGAAAAAGCAACCCAAAGTGATGAAGGCACGTTAATGAAGGCACTTCTCGTCTCACCTGCCTACCTTGTTTAGATAAGAAGTTCTATTAACTTATGCTGTTGCCACAGTGCAGTCTCCTGCACATCTTGACAGAGGGCAGCTCATAATATCAGCTTGAAGGAGCTCGTGTGAGGCAGAGCATGGGGAAAGAGTTCTGCCTTTGCTTCTTAAGACAGCTGCTGGGCTCTTGGGCTAGTGGATAGAATCTGATGAACTAAGAGCTCAGTGTAGTTTTAGTAGCAAATTCACAAGAAAATAACTAAGAACAATAAAACAGCCTCCTTTCAAAACCATAGCTTTTGAAATTGTAATTGGCAGCAGTGAAACTTCAAGCAAACACTGGAGGATGAATGTTAGCCACACTTTGTGTGTGTAACAGAATTTGTTCAGTGATTTTTATTTTTTTAGGAAAAAACATATTGCCGTATCTGAGCTTTCAAGTCAAATGCCTTTCTGATGTACTCTGATCAAGTATTATTTTATAGGACAACATTGCCTGGTCTGGACTGGTAAAATTATTCGATCCCATAAAATCTCCCAGATGCTATGCAGTTGTGGCTCTGAAGAAACAGACTTTCACATGCAAGTAAATTGATCTAATGCTGGGAACTGATACTGCTATTGTACTTTAAACACAAAGGTTTCTTTTTACACTTACTCTGCTGTTATCAACTCTTCGGTTAATGGCTTCTTTTTAAAGTTTTAATGTTTTATAAATCAGGAAATATGTACAAGAAAAACAAAAATAAACTATCCTTTGTATACCATCAAGTACCTGTAACATGAAGTGTGAAATTTTACTTTTGCCTTATGTGGATAGTACAACAGGATTGTAAAATTAAGCCGAGCAAGGGGTAGAAGAGAAAGGTCCATGATTGGCAGATGAAGGTGATGGACTACATGGAACTGGCGGAAATGACTGGCAGAATCCGAGACCAGGGAGAAGAGCTGGTGGAAAAAGATTGGAAGAAATTTAAAGTTTATTTACAGAAACATTGTAAAATTGAGGAATGTTAGAAGGATGTTGGAATGAAATAATGCAGTTTTAGCAGAAATGCTATAAAGGATTGAGGAAAAATAGATTGTTAAATGGTGACGGAGGGAAAGTAAAGTTACATTATATTAAGATAGAATAGAGGACAAAAACTGGAAAAGATGGAAAGGATTTGCTGAAATAGTTAATTGAACTAGAATACAAAAAAGGGAGGTGTGAGGAGGTCAAGAAAATAAGCAAATGAAAGATAAGTTATGGGAAGATTTATTGTATTTTTCCTTTTTTTTTCTTTTTTTTCCCTTTTTTTCTTTTTCTTGTTTCTTTTATTTTTATTATCGTGATGTGATGTTTTGTATTTCTTAAATATGCTGTTTTTTAATTCTTTTTGTAACCCTTTAAAATTCAATAAATATTATTTTTTTTAAAAAAAAAAAAGAGAGAAAGGTCCATGATCATATATCCCACTTTAAAGCTTTTTAGATCATTTATCCGCTAATCCCTTTATACTGCCATCCTGATTCTTTGTTCTGAAGATAGACAATGTGAAAGAATTTGAACAGTTTGGACTCTGCAGGCTTAAAGACTTCATTCCTGACGCTCCCCCACTGGCCAAACACATGTGGAAAAATTAGTTCAGGGACTCAAAGATTGCCTGTCTAGCCTGACATCAGGTTGGTAACTTTATCTGGCAACTGCATGTTAAGGAACAGGCCTTGTGAGATCATAATCCTTTGAATTTCTCTTAACATTCTGGATGGTGATTGCAAGAGTTTGGTATCCAAAATTCACAAGTTGCTGATTAATAAGGATATGAGCACAGTGGATGATGGGGGTGGGGCGTGGAAACTAGATTGTAACATCAGTATTGACAATGACTGTTGGAACTCTACGTGGGGAAAATTCCCCTTTAAATCCATCTCTGCTTCCACAAGAGAACTGGTGTTGAAATATTAACAGAAATTGTACATCACACCTCTCTGTTTGATACACATCAGCTTTCCCTATTCCACCCTTTGTTGGGGAAGGGAGGTGCAAGGATATAAGAACCTTCTGACATACGTGGTGGGCCTGCAGCAAGGTTAACAAATTTTGGGTCCGTGTTTCCTCCAAAATAGATAAAATAACTGGAGAGCGCATTGTTAAATCCTCTGATCTGACACTTTTGAATCTCTTCCAAGATGAGAATGCTGACTTGCACGTTGAACCTTTAATTGCCTTTCTGGTAATGACAGCCATATCAGTAATGGCCAGAGTCTGGAAGGACCCAGAAGGAGCAACCCTGGACAGTTGAGTTAGCCAAGCTTGGCAGATTGCACTCATTGAAAATGAAACACAGAAACTTTTTTTGGTGGACTGGTTCTGTTTTATTGGTTATACGAGTGAGAGCAATAATAATAGAGGGGTCCCTGCAGCATTTAAAACCTTCTCGACAGTATAATTTTCTTTGTCTTTTCTGTGTTTGGATACCTGGAACTCCCCCCCCCCCATCATTGAGTTTGGTCTATGTAATGCCCTGTATCTCTGCTGCGTATTGTAGGGCAGTTATTCAATTAAATAAATAAATTTGATAAAGACTGAATGTATGAAAAATGAGATCTAAATCGCCTCCCGCCCCCTCTTATTATTTGCACCTTCATAGGGGGGATTTCAGTTTGTTTGCTTTTTAAGCCAGTAAGAAACAAATGCCTCCTCCCACAGTGCCACTGCCCCCAATTTATTTTGGATCCCCCTGCAGCTGCTTTTAATTTTTTAATCAAAATGTAAACCTCTCCAGTCCCAGATTTCCTGTATTTTAGCTGTCCTCTTGAACATCTTCAGTGTCCTTTTGCCCTTACGGGGAGGAAGGTTCTGCCCATCTCATCTGTCTTACCACGGCAGAACTGACTGTGACTAACCTCATTCAGCTTAGCCTGCTGTGAAAATATTTGGGAGAAGAAGCAGGAAGGAACTTGTGGCTGTCTCTTCTATTGCCTACATCTAAGGGCATAGTGCAATAGCTGCTGGACCATAAAGGACTGTGGATACAGCAGTGGATATTGGAAACAAGAAAGATGATGAATGAATTCCCTGAAGAGCTCACCTGTAAAAGGCTCAGGAAGCACCCATTGCTGTGATATGCTGCTCCATTATCTCACAGAAGCATTTCCCAGCTGCTCAGTGCTGTCTTGGCTCATCTGCATAGTCCATGCATAGTTGTTACTCATTCATTTTTAACGATCCTACTTTCTAGTTTTTGCATGAAACAAATGGTATTTCCTACGTATGTTGCATTGACGCAAGTGATAGAAATGTGACCGACAACATCCACTTCTCCCATTACACGGCAAGGCAGGGAGCTATACCCTTTGGCTCATGCAGTGATGAATATATATTTGCCTATTTTGGAGTACACATGAAATAGGGTGGCATTCAGTAGTGTACCCTCCGCTAACACAAGACAACCATCAGCAGAACAGGTAGAGGAGGCATTTTCAGTGATTGCTGCTTCTCCTTATGCACACCCCATCTGCTGCAGAAGGTTCCTTAACCTCCCAGAGCAGATTTTGGGGGGCAAGGGACTGAAGAAAAGGAGGAATCACCAAAAAATGACCTCCTTTACCATTTGGTGGATAGATACCTTTCATCAGTGGAGGAGACACCATCACATATGATTCATAATGCATAAAGGAGCCCTAAGATTCTTCTCACTGAGAAAATTCATATCTATATTTAAAAGTACATTGCTCAATGTCAAAAGTTGTTTTTTAAAATATTTTTTTATTAAAATTATCAACATAACACAAATTAAAACTAATTAATTATCCCTTCTGGACTTCCCCTAAACACACACACACCGGTTTCCAATGTCTCCCCTTTATTTCCTTGCACACCTTATATTTTCCATTCAATCTCAAGCCCATTAATAACCTTGATACATGGTACTTCATAGATGCGCTCAATGTCAAAAGGTTTTGAAATGATGGCACAATATTTCTTTTTAATTTTTTTCATTATAACTATATGTTCACAAAGAACTGGGAAATAACATATTGGTGTGGAATAAGTTCTTTCCTTCCTCTCCTCTTGTGTTTTTATTACACTTTTATAAAACCTTTTAAAAAATTTGCTTCCTTTATAATATGTCACCAAACCTGATGAGATTTTAAATGGATTACATTTGCAGACTGGTTTGTAGTAATCTTCCATCTTGAATTATGATAGAATTACCCTTACACTAGTGAGTGTTGCTGGGGATCTTTCCATTGCTGCTGGTATAAAATTTGTTGTCATTTTTCAGGTTGGGCAACAGCCCATAAAAAAAAAAAAGTTTTAGAACTTGAGTAGGAATCATCTATAAAATATTATGAGAGAGAGAAATATAATATTGTAAAATGTGATTATGCACCTGCGTTACTCTACCGACAACTTTTACAGCCAAGCCCCTACTGAAATTGTAATTACATAGGAGCCTCCTTTCTAACAAGAGCTCCATGCTGATGGCTGTAGGCTGGTCCATATACTCTAAAAACCTCTGCTTGTATAAACTACCATATGAACCAGTCTAACTTTGCCTCTTGCTGTTGAATTAAACATGAAAGAGCAGTATTTGCTGACATGGCGGCATCATGCTGCAATTAATTCCTCTGTGTGGTTGTGTCCACATAGTTCCTTATTGCAGATAATTTTTGGCTCTATGAAGTGACCCTGTGGCCTCTTGCAAGTGACATATTGCAAATTCAAGTTTTTCAGGGCATGAGCTCTGAGCATTCTGCAACTAACTGAAAATGCCCTCGGACTCTGTAGGTAGCATGGATTTAGTTACTGGTGCTACTGGCTACATGAAGACAAATTTATTTGTTGATGTTTTCATCCTTATGAGTAGCCTCATTAAACCTGCAGATGTTCTGTCAGTGGGAAGTAAATGAGAGATTGTTATTTTAAGTCACTGCACTTTTTAATAACAGTTTTACAGCGTATAATGTAGCTGAGAAACCTTCTGTTCCCATGCATAAAACTTAGTTTATTTAATTACCTCCAAATTAACAGCATACGTATTAGAATCATGTTTATTAATTAGTAAAACAAACGTTTAATATGAATTGTTTTGAAAGATTGCACAGAAAGCAAATGATTACTAACTAGAATTTAGTAGTTGTTGTGTGACAGGGTTAAAGAATCCCAAACGTTGCAGTCATAACCCCACTTACCTGCAGTTGAACTCAGTAGGACTTACTTATGAGTAAAAATAGGATTGCACTATAGTTATTTAATATTGCTTTCTACCATTCCGAAAAAAGAAAATCAATTTCTCCTAATGCTGCCATAACACTGTTATTGTAAAGTTGCTAAGAAATATGTTCAGGATTATTATACTGTGCTTTAGTGGTGTGTGTGTGTGTGGTTGAAAACTTTCATATTAAAAAAGAATTCCCATTGGGTTAAAGCTATTGTGATTCTTATAAATTAAAAAATTTGCCTGCCTTTCATGAGGTCCCGCCATGACTTAATGCAGCCACCACAAAAGAATGTGCCATCTATTGTCCCTGCTTAAGAAGTAACTGGGCAAGAATAGAAATCTCTGGCAGCGCTAAGAGCTAAAGGCAGTCCCTGTTCTTTCCTCAACTCTTGTTTCTTAGGTCAGGATGTGTGTCACGGTATCAGCAGCCATACCCAAGAATCAGGCTGTGAGCACCACAGCAGGAGCCCAGGAAGAAGTATGAAATGAGATGGCAGGTGTTACTGTTGGATAAGATAGTGGAAATTGTATTCTTTTTTGCTTAGGCCCTGTCACTTGAGAAAGAGCAAGAAATCTCTGCCTTTGGAACCTTCACAAGAGATGGGGTGTCAGCAGGAGCCTGTCTCAAGGACTAGGCTTGACTTGCGGCAGGTTTACGGCACAATCCTAACTCTTCCTAATTAAATAGGACCTTCTCCCAGGTGAGGGGTTAGGATCACATCTTTCCTTTTAAGGATTGCTGTCAGGCTTCGGGGAATCGGTTTCCTTCCCCTGTGGCCATAGATAAGAAGATCAAATGAAAGGAACATCTTACCAGTTAAATTCTTTAATAATTACAGTGAAAGAAAGAAAAAACATCTCCTAGAATGGCGGTGCTCCCAATTAAGGCTCATTCCCCCTCCCCCCATGTTAATCTACGTCACTTCTATGTTTTGTAATCTGAGTTTATACCCTCTGTGCTTTCTGTTCTAACACTTTCTGAGCTCTCCATGTCTTTGGAGAAGGGGGGTGAATGCTGTCCAGAGACTGTGAATCGGTTAACTCTCTCTCTTCTAGTGTTTCTTTTTTTTTTTTTTAATGATATTTATTAAAATTTCAGAGAATACAAGAATTACATAAAAACAAAAAGTAAAAGTACAAGAAAATACAAAATACAAAATACAGAAAAAAGAATAAAAGACACTTAAAGAGAAAAGAAAAAGAAAAA